TAATCCTCCCCCCGTGATCCTACTTCGCGGCCCCTCCCCCCCAGGAAACCCTACTCCGCGATCCTACACAAATCCCACGGACCCTCCTCTCCCTGGGAAACCCTACACCGCGAACCTGCACCCAACCCCACGGACCCCCCTCTCCCTGGGAACCCCATTGGGAAACCTTACTCCGCGATCCTTCCCAACCCATCGAACCCCCCTTTCCCTGGGAACCTCCCCCTTCAGCGAATCCTCCCCCCAGGCCCACTTCTTCGTTCCCGCCCTGAAACAAACAAAAACAATCAAGAATTATTAGTATGATTTGCCAATACTTTTTGTCAATACTGGCCTCTAGACTTCTATTCAGGCCCTCATTATGGATACGTACTCGTGCTAAAAGGAACTATATGCATGAAATTTGCATGCAATATAGTTTTTTTAGCAAAAATATGTCCAATTTCATTTCTATTATTATCAACAACAATATACCTCTTTTTGGTAAATGTGAGATAGAAACTAGTTGATTCATCTTTTAAGGGTAATTTATATATTTTGCTAAACTCCTTTCCGCAAGTCCTAGATTATTCAAGCTCTTCAAAATTTTAGTCAAGGCACCATGCTAAAATTAATCAAACATACGTCATCATTTGATCAAATTTGAATTAGAATTGCAGTTTGGTTCTGTCTTCGGACAAGTTTGCATTCAGCTGTAGTGACTGAACTGCATCACGCAAAAAGGAATTAAATTTTTTGGCTCATTTAAGAAATCATCTGTTGATATAGAAAACTTTATGATTTTTAAATTGTTTCTTCCATGAACTGAAAAAGATAATTCCTTTGTGCACAATGCAGTACAATACTTTCCAGTTGAATGCAAAACTGTTCAATAGTATTACATGGGAACTACATCTATGCAGAACTGTCAGGAATTGCAAATACTTAATGAAATTACTTAAAAATGGATTCGATGAATTTTATTAGACTATGCATTTCATTTTACTGTTGATGATTTCTGTCATTTAAATTTTACATAACAGATAAACGTTTTGGAGGGCACTACATCCGTCCTCAATGTGTACTCATCATGTGGAGCATTTTCTTTGTTTCTTGCAGACCTGAAACAAACTAAAAATAAAAAAAAAGAACGATTAGTTGGAACTTAACCTAACTTAAAATAAAAACTCGAGTGAACATTTTTCTTTGTTCATGCCAAATTAATTTGTTGAAACAGACACTTTCTGCTACTATTCCAATGCAAAATTCATTACTTATTATCTTGACTTTAATGAAAAAATTAAACACTAAGAAGTGGCCCAAAACTGTATGTAACAAGGTGGAGAAATGACACTGAATTGACTTTAATGCAGTTGCATTTTATGTTCGTCTCTTCTCTTTCGGTATTTGTTCTATGAGCGACTAATCCGTCATTAATTTGTGCTTTTCCAATGCAGCATAATTAAAATTGTCCTAGTGATTCCTTGAAAATTATGCCAAAATATCTATTAATTTTTACAACATTAAAAATAGTTAATGTACAGTTCAATAATTGAACTGCGACTTTTTGAAACTTACAATTGGACAACATTTTGGAATTAAGAACTGCTAATTCCGTCTAATTTTAAAAAGAATGTATGCATCATTAATTTCTCGGAGCAGATAGATGCTTCCATGGGAGAGTCAGAATTAGTAGTTCCCAATTATAAAATCTAGTCCAACTGCAAATGTAGTCGGAGGTAACGCTAATTAAAGATGAAAAGAGGACAAGATTAAGAAAAGAAAAATAGTAAGAAGCAGGGGTGTGGAATAAACATATTAAATCAGAATAAAATCACGTAAAACAGCCTCCTCTGTGCTCGTTTCTTGCCGATCTGAAACAAAAATAAACAAAAGAAAATTATTTTTAAGCATACGGAGTTTAAAAAGCAAAATGAAATGAAGTAGAGCAGTTTCTAAGTGTTTACTCTTACCAGTCTGAAAAAATGTAAAAGAAGGAAAATTAGTATAGAATATACACAACGAAAAACAATATATGTACATGTATGTATATATGACAAGGTGAATAAACCTTTCACTGTTTTTTTTCTCGCTGATCTGAAAAGAAAATGATTGAAGATAAAAAATAACACAGATAGAAAAATTAGTATGGAAAGTAGTATGATTAGTACCTGAGCGACAATAAAAAATGAAATTAAGTGAAACAGCTTTCTCTGCACTCGTTTTTTGCCGATCTGAAAAGAAAAATAAACAAAAGAAAATTAGTTTAAAGTATACAGTCTGCAAAAAGCAAAATGAAATAAAGTAAAAAAAATTTCTAAGTGTTTACGCTCACCAGTCTGAAAAAATGCAAAAAGAGTAAAATTAGCATAAAATATACATGATGAAAAACAATGTATGACAAGGTGAATAAACTTTTTAACTTTGTTCGTTTCTTGCCGATCTGAAAAGAAAAGTAATGAAAATAAAAAATAACACAGATAGAAAAATTAGTATGATATTTGAGCGAAAAATAAAAATGCTGCAAAGCAATTTTACTTGCATAAGTAATTAGTAAAGCAATTTTAGATTGAATTTGTCAGTATGAGCCATTAACCATTAACTTTTGGAGTTATGAAAATTAATTGAATTCATTGAATTGATGAAGATTTAGTTAGAGGATAACATGAACTTGTCAAGTTAAAATTAAAACTTATAAAAGCAGCACTTAACTTTCTTAAAAGCAGCTTCTACCCTGACCTGATCTCTTGTCAGTTCAGGAAAGGAACATAAATAAGAAAGGAAAATTAGTGTGAAGCTTTTTGAAGAGGAATAAAAATTCAGTCGTCCAAGAAAATGAGTTGAAATCGTTTTACAAGCAGAATGCTGGAAAGTGCTGGAAGCGTATTCTTTGTAGTAAGTAGTCTCTGGCCGATCTGAAAATAAGAAAAGAAAAAGAAAATAAGTAAAGCTAGTGAAGATCCATTGTAAATCACAAGTATAACTGACATGCAAATCATCTACAAAAGTCTTTTCTTAGTTTTAGTTTTTAGAAAAATTTCAATTCTCCAGAAGATTGGTGGGTATGAGGGAAAAAGTGAGGTCATTTATGGACTAGCGCTGAAAATCACACACAGAATAACTAGCCATCAGAACCCCCCATAGAACCCAATCTTTACACTGTTGACTAAATAAAGTAAGAAAAAAATTTTAAAAAAAATATTATGAAATATTATTACGTTCATTGGTAGTTTCTTTTTTTTTTTTCAAAGAATAAAATTATCTATACTGATTACTATAAATATGAACCTGGCACGACTGTGATCGTAATACAGTAGAATAATAAAGATTGTACCCAAAATTTAAAATTTGAAAAAAAAAAAAATCAACAATTTGAAAAACAAATTCAATTCAGATTCAAAGATAAAAATAAAAGTTTTAAAATTTAAAAATAAAAAATTTAAAATTTTGAAAATGCACTTTTTGAAAGTAAAAATTTAAATTGTATAAGAATTGTGAGTATACTCACATATCAAAAGCTATAATGCTGGATGCTGACTGCAGTACCAAACCACTGCACCACTAATTAACCTGTTAACCCACTGACTTGTTCACCCACTGAACCCTTTCGCTTGCTGAACCAATACTGATTGAACTTCAGGGGTTGGATCTCCCTTTTATAACCTCGTGACGTCGTGGTCTGTAGCCACCACCAACAATCCCATCCCCCCTCTGCCGACCCCTCTTGCAATTAGGACGCAATTTTGAAACCATTTCCTTGTTTTTCACTAAGAGGAAACCCGAGCTTTACAGGACAAAAGGATGTAGGCATTCCTCGTAAACATCATTAGCCAGGTGTTGGGGTCTTTTGTTTTATTGAGGTGGAAGGGACCTCATGTGTTCAAAACTATGTCGCAAGTACTGCCGTCTTAAGGAAGAACGCCGTATGAACATTCGAGAGTTGCCAAATTTTCCTTGGTAAAGTATGTATTTTTGACGACATTCATGCACATTTTTTATTTAAGTTTTCATATGTTTTAGATGAAATTGCGTACGAAATTGTCTGAACATTTTGGAAAAAAATATTCACAATTTTCCGTTATTCGTTATATTCCGTATACTCGGTTTGTATCGAAGCAAATTCGGCAACATCTGAAGGCTCATACGGCGTTCTTCCTTAGCAAGGCATAGTAGGACATGGAAATCCCCTCGTTCGTTTCTTTAGCGGTCAAGGGCCTGGGGTTAAGGGTCAAGGGTCGCGGCCTGGGCCGCAAAACAATGAAAGAGGGAATTTCCCGTAAGCAGGAAAAAGAACACGGAAAACGAGTATTTTTGGGGCAAATCCGTGACAGTTTGATAAAAATACTGAACTGTAAGGGAAGGGGGGGTCAAAAAAGAGGAAAATTCTCCAAATGAATTGCGTTGTTCTGAAAACAAGAGCGTCTATTACTGTGCTGAAAAGAGAAAACAAAATTGCAAAACGGATAACAGATTTTGCTTTCGAAACAACGTAGTTCGTTAATGAATATTTATTCTTTTTTAGCCCCCCCTCCTTACTGTAAGTATTTTCATGATCTCCCATTGAATTTGCCTCCTAAAGAGCATATGAGACATTGAAATACGGCGGATTAACACAATACTTCTGGCGCACTAGTTTTGTAACAATCAGTGATTTGTTTTCAAAAATCGCACTAATCTTTACAAGATATCAACATCCTTTCTATGTAAAAATCAGTGTGGTAAGCCTTCACTCTGCAAAATAAAATCGACTTTTTGATTCGTGTAACCAGACGTTCGGCTCGAGTAACCGAACTTCTTTCATCAGTTCTTTAACCACATAAGTGCGGTAACGCGAAACGAAAGTTGGGTTTGACCAACTGGAAGTAGCGATTGACGAACTGAATAATTGAGGACAATAATAACAAGAAAGTCAAATAAATGCATTTTGAATAGTTGAAAAGTTGGGATGAAATACAATATCATGTTCCCCCTCATCATGTGGATATGCAATTTTGTCTTCTTAGCAGTCAAAATATGTGTATCAAGTGTTTCGTCAGATCCAACTTTTTACTCCTGCGTCAAAGTCTCTGAATCAGTCGATAAGAGATCCTCCTTCATTTTGTGGATACGCAATTTTACCTACTTGGCTGTATCCCGCGTTTCGTCCCTTTCGACTTTTCTACTTCCGCGTTAAAGTCTCCGCATGGAAAACATTTTATTGCTGATTTAACAATTGAATTGCGAAAAAAAAGTGACTGCAATATTTCAACGTAGATTTCACAACACAAAAATGCTACTTTAACCTCTATTGTAAGCTAATTTAACCACGGGGGTGGTTAAAGTAGCATTTTTGTGTTGTAAAATCTCCGTTGAAGTATTGCCGTCACTTTTTTTTAGCAATTTAATTGTCAAATCAGCAATAAAATTTTTTCCGCGGCGAGTCAGTCAAAAAGAGATTCTCCTTCATTCGGTGGATATGCAATTTTACCCACTCGGAAGTCGAAATAATTGCATCACTCATTTCGCCTCATCAACTTTTCAACTCAACGTTAAAATCTCTGAATCAACGGAAAAGAGACCAAGATTGTCACCTATGCAAGAAAGTTTTGTTGCTTCATAATTGTGATCGGATCTGTGAAAAAGGATCTCAGTTTCCCGAGGTAAATTTTCGAAACTTTGAACTTCGTGCGATAAACGATCTAGAAATGTGCCTGCAGAACTTCAGGAATACTTCAAGCATCGCGCCGTCTCCCCGAGATCTCTAGTTTCTTTCTCGGCTCTTGACTCGCGAATCGCTCCACTTATCGCGATTTCGCGTTTTGCGAGGAATTTTCCGAGATGCGTTTGCTGTTCGAAAATGCGTAAGGTGGTCCGCGTACACAATTTCGGAAGATGTAGACAAAAATGGAGCGCCTTTTAATCAAAACGTAATCAATCAATTTCATATCATCCATCATTCAAGGTCGCAGCCGAAGACAAATACCTACTCTGCCGTGCTGAAGAAGAACGTCGTATGAACATATGAGAGTTGCCGAATTTCCTTCAATATAATGTTTATTTTTGAGAAAAGTTCCATAATTCTATACATTTTTATATATCGACGGTGTAAGTCGGCAATCACATAACTCGTTTGCGCTGTCTAAAAATCTCTGCCTCTATGTTATTTTTTTAAATGAGAACAGATTGACATCATTCCTTGAAATTTATGCAGAATTTTCTTCGCACAGAGAAGAAAAGTCACTTCAGTTTTAAAGAATTGCCGTTGAGTAGTTTTCCGTTTAAAAAATAAAGTAATACAGGAAGTCTGCGACGTCACGAATCAAGTTTATGTGATTGCCGACTTACACCGTCGATATATTTACTGTATCCTCCTATTGTGGGGAGGGAGGATAGTGCTTATACTAATATTAAAATCCCCTCTACAGGGGGTGCCCTATATGATAAGGATACCAAAATTTTACACCTTTTTTCAATATAAATACAATTTAACATACAACTCCAGAATGCTAAAACTCAATTGAACAAAAATTATATAGGAAAACATCAAGATTGAAATATTTATACTGAAATTAATCATCAGATTTAATGTGCATTGATTATGCAGAACATTTTTTCTTGAAATTTTCAAAAACTTGAGGTGAAATTGCGAACAAAATCATCTAAATATGTTCAATCAAAGGGCATTTGGCAACGCCTGAAGGTTCATAATGCGTTTTTCCTTAGCACGGCAGTATGATCACAGGGTTGCCGGCGGTCTGGAAAATCAGGGAACGTCAGGAAATTCGCGGCAACCGGGAAAATTAAGGAAAAATCAGGGAATTCTTTGGAAAAGGCAGACGAGAAAATCTGGGAGGTGGGGAAAAAACTTCGGTTTCTGGGAATAAGGGGATGAGCTCTCAAAAATCAGATAATGAGCGTGGTTAAGAATCTTAGACACCATGCTTTAAGCTGAGTAATGCCTTTTTATGGTTTTTTTCTGGACCTATTTCAGCCACGGCCCTCGAGCGTAAAATTTGGCAAGAACTAATGCAGAAACTTCGGTTTTAAATCTCTGTCCATCCCTTAAACTGACAGGCCCCCTCTTAAAATTTTCTATGCACACAGGCAAATTTCACACAACCATGTTCAGTCAAGTTATTCCCCTTAAGTTACATAGAAAATACAATGGACAAGCTGCAAAACTCTGAATTCACCCTACAACATTTTAATTAATCATTGCAATTTTTCTTACGATATTATCAGCAGATAAAATATTATCCTAAGTTTAAGATAGATAATTTTAAGAATCTAACATCAGAATATGTTTTCTATTTTCTTTGTTTCAGTGAAAAACGTACAACTGTGATAGATGATGAAAGTGACTATTACTCTGTGAACTCTGTCTGGTTATCTCCGGAGGAGCGAGATAAACTTCGTCAAAAGGAGGATGAAATGCGGGCAAGAAAACATAAATCAGCAAGATATAAAAGATACACAATAGATTTCGCTGGTCAGTGATGTTAATATTACCTTACTTTGGGAGTTTAGATTTCTGGGCTATGTTTTTGTTTTTTAATCATAGCTCTAATCATTTTTTTTTATTTTGGAAATTGATTTGCAAGAGAATATTTCTTTTACGACTGACTAAAATATGAATTTGGCAAGAGAAATAGCTGAAGTATCATGTTGATAGTTGTTCAATGATCTAGAGTGATGCAGGATGAAGAGAATCAAGAGCGTTTGTGAAGCAATAAAATCTAGAAAAGTAGGAAGTTAGAAATAGCTAGACCTGCACCGAAAAAAACCAGATGGAAAATAAATCTTTCTTGAAAAAATTGAAAATTTATCCTCTTGTTCGGTTTTTCTCTATCAGAAGCACTCATCAGAAGCATTTAAACAAAAATTTTGAAAATCGCAGCTTCGATAGGGAAAGCAAAAATATTTACGGTCATCTTTTAAATTAACAGCAGATACTCTGCCTTTTTTATATACTTATTGCCAGTTAGTTTGTCCGAAGGGTTTGAGTAAATTTTGGTTTCTTGATCTGTGGAAGAACGCGAATGTCAAGAAATTTTTTTAGACGCTCGAAATCATTGATCTTAGGAGGATGGTTCAAATAGTACCAACTGACTTTTCAGTTGCCGATTTTGAACATGCATCTCATCTTCATTGTATTTGAAAAGTGCTCAAAACACTGAAATTAGATGTGTGGAAAATTTGAAAAAATAAAAAAAAAATAAAAAAAAATAAAAAAAAAAATAAAAAAAAAATGTGGTATTGGATTTACCTTGGAACTAGTATTTCTGTACAGAATATATGAATGTAACTTTTCCCTTTTCCAACTTCAACCAAGATCAGACTTTGTATTTAACCGCCTTTCAACAGTTATAGTAAAAAAATCATAACTTCTGAACCAGTCATGACTAAACCTTTGATCAGGCATTTTAATACTGATTAAAACGTCTTAAACACGTAGGTGAAGCTTTTGATCGAATGATTCTTAAACCAATTTCAGCAAAATGCTGGGTGATCTGAAAGTGTCTCAATACATATTTAGTCTTATGCCTCAACCATGATCTCTCTCAAATTTTCATTTTAGGTCGCCAAGTACTAGAAGTTCAAGATGATGAAATTTATGATTTAAATGATCAAGATAAACTGGCTATATTGAATAAAAAATTATCAGAGTGTCACATCAACGATTCTGAAGACAATATAGCTCCAGCAACAGATATGCAACCTGAGGTAATCGAGACATATTGCTTTGGAGGCAACTATTTTTATTATCTGTAATTTATCAAATGATGAAAATGTTGTCTAGATCTCTTTATGCCGAGGATTTTTTTAGGAAATCTTTTTTTACTAACATTTCAAAATCTTCACTTCAAGCTTAGAAAGAAGTTTCTGTCGCAGAAACAACAAAACTGAGAACTTTATTTGTAGTTCAAACCTTAGTATGTATTTTATTTAAAAGTTGTCAAAAGTCTTTCCTATCAGTAATGTCATTTTCACAAGTGGATCCAGATTGCATGTGTATTTGTTTTTATTAGCTCTGAACAGATGTAGTAAGTAAAAATAACACGTTGTTAACAATTAATAACAAATTATATCAAGTTAATAACAAATGTTAAACGAAAAGACTCCGGCCGCACAAGAATCTTGCATGATGAGAAATGTAAGTATGTACCTTTCCAAACCAAGTGCCATGTCATTTTATTTTCACCAAATCTTTCTGATCTGTCTAAATGAAGGTATGTTAATAGTTCCAGGAAAATGCTGTGGTAAAGAAGTACAAAACCAAAGGCTTTAGAGATCCGAATCGTTTCGATGATTTGACGAGAGTTCAAGATAAAGAATACATGGAAATTTCAGATATGGGCTTTTGTCTGAGCATGCATCAACCGTGGGCCTCCCTTCTTGTAGCTGGAATTAAAAAGTAAGTTATTTCTGTAGTTATTTTGGTACAAAATGCTGTAGTACATAAAGTGTCTCTACTTTTTATTAACTTAAGTAAGTGGGGCGTAGGGATGAAGATGAATTTCACCCATAGCCCAACATAGTCAGCCAAAACCTTTTAATATGTAGCTTCAATAAAGTGTTTGAATGAATTTTATATTAGATCATTGTACCAAGACCATCACTGATTGCAACGGCAGAAAGTTGTTTTCAAAACATGACGAGAAGCTGCAGTCCAAAAATTGAGAGTTCTGTTTCTATAAATTGATCAGAAATGGTTTTCTTCCTGCACAGTTGATAAATTGAAGTCTTCAAGTATTTCTCATGGATGAAGTGAATAATTCTTTCAAACTATCTATTCTTTCTTGCAAATGAAAAGAAACTTTTCTCCCACTGACTCTAAGCAAGTATGTTTTTCATTTGCGGCTTTTTGTCCCATCCAATGGAGCAAACGGTCGCTAATATTGTTGTTTAGAGAAAAATCCGGCGGCCAGTGTCATCTTTAAAATTGGACAATCATCAAAAATCATGTCCAAGGGATTAAAGTAACTGGAAAAAAAAGGTTTGGTCCGAGACAAATATTTACAAAATTTGTAGCCCTTTACCTCCACCCATCATACTACCTAATCTTTAAAAAAGTTTATAAAAAAATAAAAAAAAAAACAAATTGCACATTTTCTGCTTTTTCAATCTCAAAACTGTTGTTGACTCATAATTCTGCTGCAAAATTTTTCAAGGCTCGATGTATGAATTTTGTTAGAGCTATCAAGAAGGCAAGTCTAAAAATCTAAGTAACCAACTATCTCTTGAACTTAATAGAATAAAATGCCAGGACTTGTGAAGGTTGAGATTAACAATTTAAAACCTCAAACAACTTACATTAAAACAACAATAACATTAAAACAGTTAGATTTGGTGCGTTTTGAAGACCCTTCCCCTTCTTAAAAGAACTCCCAATTTATTCTGAAGATGGACTACATTTTGCAATAAGGACACATTATTTCTGGCTCATCCTTAAGAGAACCTATGCACATAGGCAAACCAGTAGCATGCATGTAGCAGTAGTTTCTAATTGCAAAATGTAGTACAAATGTGGACTGGTTCATAGCAGTGAGCTTCATCAAAGTATGTATAATATCCAGGCAAATACTTTTGAAACATAAAAAATTAATTTGGTTGTTTAATCCAGACACGAGGGAAGAACTTGGTACACGCATCATCGAGGACGACTCTGGATAGCAGCAGGCTCAAAGCCACCCGTTGAAAGTGAAATCCAAAGGGTCGAGAACGAGTATAGATTCCTTCGAGGAGACGACACCATATTCCCTTCAAGTTACCCAACTGGATGCTTATTAGGATGTGTCAACGTCATCGACTGCCTGTCCCAAGAAGAGTATCAGCGCAAATACCCTGATGGTGAAAACGACAGTCCTTTTGTGATAATTTGTGAAGATCCAGTTTCACTCCCATTCAAGTTCCTTATCTCAGGGCAGCATAAAATTTGTGAGTATATTTTTTCATTAATAACAATGATTTTCATGATGTAAACTATTTGTGGTGCAATGCATATTGATGACTTGAGTCGATAAATTCGTGTTTCAATTTGCTACGTTGTAAGTCTCCGCTTGCCCCTGTCTTTATTGACCACTTTCATCTGGAGAATGATTGTTGAAAATGATGGATAAAGCTATAGACACAGAAGAAATAGGGAAATTGGAATGATCCTATTGGTGGTAATGGCAATCCACGAGAGATCCTGTAATTAGTCCATCATTTTCACCCTTAGTCTATAAAAATCATCTGCTTGAATCAACAGGATTGCTTCATTTCCTCTTCATCTTCTTAGTCTCTTGCTTTTTCTATCAATTTCAGTAATCATCCCACTGGCGAAGACTAAGATGTTTTGCTGCTTGCCCACGGTCCAGGCGGGGCAGTAGTTGTCGTAATATGATTTTCTCCCTGCTTTGAAGCACAAAAAAGAAGTCTCCACTCATGTTTTATTTTTTTTTTTTTTGAAGAAAAACTTCAGCAACAGCTTTTAATATAATTTTCTGTGAATTTTCTTCAATTATACTAACAGCAATCTCTCAGAATTGAAAGGATTTTTTTATTCTTTGTCTGTAAATAAAATGAAATATAATTGGAGAATTTTCAGAGTTGCAGCTACACATTTCTTTGGGTTAGCCATCGATATTATTTAATGGGTCACTAGGCAAACTTTTTTTGCACAAGAGAAAGAAAATTAGATGAAAATATGTCCAATGGTTTTATTATATGTCAGTATATTTTGTATTTTTTCCTTCCTCAAAAAATTGCTCCCAAAAGAAATATTTCCTTCTATTGGGTGCATTAGATACAAGCAAAACGACGGTAAAACTCCTAAGCCTTGTTTCGCGGTTCGCAACAATGCAGACTTCCTGTCATATTTAATTTTTCAAATGAAAAACTACTCAAGGGTAAATTAAAAACCGGCCATGACTTATCCTCTTTGCATGAAGAAAATTCTGTGAAAACTTTAAGGAATAATGTTGATTTGTTCATCTGTGAAAAAATAAAACGGGAGTGGAGATTTTTAAACACTGCAAACAAGATACATGGTTCGTAAGTTTCTGTTCGTAAGAATTTGTGAAATGATTCGGTTTACTCTATAATGGGCCTGTTGCATGCAAGAGATACAGCCGCGCGAATAGACTATTTAGAGGTTAAATGACACGAAAATTACGATGGTCACATTAAAAAAGTCTGAAATACACTCCTTACTGCGCAATTTGCGTTGTTAAGAACGCGCTTTTTCAAATTTCCCGCGTCTGGGGGCAGTTTTCTAATCACCGGAAACGAGCAAACGGCAGGCTCGGTGATTTCCGGAAGATGTCGAGTCGTTGTTGTTGTTGTTATTTTTTCCTTCAGTTTGTTTACAAATCCAACGTGATCTCTTATAGTGGTCCATATACGCTTTACGCAGTAACCAGATCGATCAACTTTTAAATATCCAACGCAATCCTTCTACATTTCATTTCACGATATCACGAGCTCCGATTTTTAGGTTATGTTGTCAGTTTTAGTTGACCGGAAATAGCCGCGAGTTGCCGTTAATTGTTTCATTAGAAAACTGCCCCCAGACGCGGGAAATTTGAAAAAGCGCGTTCCTGACAACGCAAATTGCGCAGTAAGGAGTCTATTTCAGACTTTTTTAATGTGAGCATCGTAATTTTCGTGTCATTTAACCGCTAAAAAGTCTATTCGCACGGCTGTATCTCTTGCGTGCAACAGGCCCATTGATTACATTTGTGAGTTTCAGTCAATTATTTCCATTATTATTTTCTTCACTTTTTTTTCCAGTTGTGCACAGTTCGTTGCCTTCACAGTTTTTACTTCTTGGTGGCTAGGGTCATGGATTCCTATTTAAAAAGTAAAACTTCCTTTTAGCTGAATTATGTTGCTTACTAGATGGCAACAAGCAGGAGAGATCTGTTTAAAAAGAAACTAACAATAATAAGTCCACATAATGTGTAGTAGATTTGCGTCTTTACAAAACTTCCTTGATAGGTGGACTCCTACTGCTCGTTGAAGTTCAGTTACTTTGAGCTTTTCACTTTTTCAATGAATTTCAAACGGCTCTTCTCTTTTTCAGATCGCTTGGACTCAAAAATACATCATGCAGCCTTGAAAGCATTAGAGAAAATCAAGATTTATTAGGCATAAGATTTCACTTTAAACTCTATTTTTGTTATCTAAGTAATATTGTTATTTTTTTATTCAATTTTTCCAATAATTTCAAGATTTTTATTCAAGTTTTCTTGTTTTCTTTTCTCATTCAACCTAGCCGATCCATGAGTATAGCTAAGGGATTACGAGGGAGCGAATATTTATGATGATTTACAAGAAATTACATAAATGGATAATAACTAATAAAGCCTCTTCTGTCCTTAAGTTGGACCACGTTTAGCAGAAAGGAACCGAACCACATCAGCAATTGCCAAATTTGGTAGGTAAATTTAATTTCTTACAAGAGAACGTTTGTGCAAATTCCTCTCAAAATTTCAAGGAATTTGCTTCTTACTATGAAGGAAATTTATAGAAATTTGTACATTAATCCGCACAACCGTTTTCACGTAAAAAATCAAATTGCCGAATTAAATTTGGCAATAACTGATGTGATTTGGTTCCTTTCTACCTAACGCGATCTATTTGTAAGTAAAAGATGTGATTTCATCACGAATTTTTACTTGCTGGCACAATTTTTTTGCGTACGGATGGTTACGATAGTTACACACTATTAATAAAATTAAACACTTTAAACAAAACAGATTCTTTTTTTATTGAAAACAATATAGAATTATGTGCACTTATAACAATAAATAATCACAAACTGTATATATAAAAATTAATGTATGTATCACAATAACTCCAAAACGCACTGTAGCCTACGTAAATACAGGAGGCATTTCAGTAACATTGGATTAACAAGTGAAATTGAGAGTACGGAAATACAGTGGCCTCTTCAATATCTAATTAGGCAATCTGACTAAATCCAAAATATTGAGACTGAACTTAGTGTATATGGTGAGATTCTGAGAAAAGTCTTAAGACTTGGCAGTCTTAGCTGAATTTAGATAAAGCTGATCATTGACTTTCTCCACATTTTTTATATAAATAATTCCAAAATTGTGTAGGATTAAACAGAGTAGTCTCTTGTTATGAAAATATGAAATTGTATTAAGCAGCAACATCAAAAAAGCGGTCTAATAACGCAGCCACCTGCTCTGGCGCATACTTTAGATATTTCTCAGGATTTTTACTAAAGTTAAGGCAGGAGAACTTATCGTAGAAAGTATTGTACTTTGGAAGGATATATTCTTTGTTGTCTCGTTTTATACTTTCGCGAAGTTCAACATCTGGGATGGAATAACCTCTCTGCAATCGGGAAATTTCTTCGATTTCCTTATTAAAGCCGGCAAATCGCTCCTTCACACTGTTGCGATCTTTATCTCTCAGTTTGCCACCTTGGAGAGGAATGTCTTCCAATGCTGTTATGTGGCTGATAACTTTATTCCAGCTGTAAAAAAAAGTAAAACAGATTATGACAAGCATTCCTTGAAAGTAATACAGGGTTTCCTTTATTTCTTCATTTCTTAATGATTCCATGATTTTCCCTGAATCAAAAATTTCCGAATTCCCTTACCGTCAAACAACACTTCCACTTAAATCTTTCCTTTTAATTGCGCTGACTTTTAAAAACTAAAGAAAAAATTTACTCAGAAAATGTATGCGCTTTCTCAAATGTATCCAGCCAAAGTTGCTGCGCCAACAAGCTACTTAAAAAATTCCCTGACTTTTCCAGGGCACCATACATACATTCCTTAACTTTTTCTGACTTTTCAGGTTTTCTACAACTTAGACACCCAGATAAAAACTTTGATAAATTAAAAATCATCTTTAAAAGACTTTATTGAGATACGGAAGAGGGGGAGCAATCGCAAGCCACATTCCAGTATGTTTATTTGTTCCTTAAAATCTATGCATTGCTACTGCTGTAGAGTTTTTCCTCAGAATTACATGTATCGGTAGGTACCTACAAAAATCATGATGCCTGAGTTATATATTCTATCCTTGTCTTGGTCTTGGTCAGGTAAGATAGAATAAAAGAAAACCATCTAGGTATGTTAGACGGAAATCGTTGATGCGAATTATCTCTTGAAGACTTTAGTGCATAAAATGTATTCAGTATTTTCATCCATCTCATTTAAACTTTAAAAAACAGAAGCTCCCTCATGGTTGAGAAAGAGAGTAAAACATGTTACAGGGTTTTAGAAACCGAAATTCATCGACAGCAAACGAGAAAAGGAGAATATTTACCATTGCAAATAAGCTTTCTTGTGAGTGCTTATCATACTGTAATAGTTGTTCTCACAGTCTGGTTCTGAAAATGATACAAGTTCCAGAAGAGATGACCGCTGCAAAGCTTTCAGTACATAGTGGCAATTATTCAATCGAAAGATGGCTCGGACTCCAGGTTCGCTGTAAGTTTCACTTTTGCTCACAACTGTTAAATTCAACTGTGACAAGACTTTTTCTGCAAAAATAAGGGAATGATGTTTGAGTTTTTTAAAAAAATATGAAGTCCAGGTTCAATACAGGATTAAGAATACTGAAGCAGTTTAAAATATCAAATAAGGTATACTTTTTCTTTCTCTGTCTTAAATCATTACAATTTACAAAAAATGATAATCAAATTACGAGTAAAATCTTTCATTTTAGAGTAAAAAGAGGGTCGCAGGAAAATTTTGGTAGCTTTCTTGCTACCATCCTATACAGTTATTTATTTTCCCCTTAAAACAACCTTATGAAGTCTACTGACTTCAAGAGAAATTTTTTTGGTACTTCCTAGGTTTTATTTCATCAAAATGACAAATATCCTCATTTCAAATAGAAGGATTTGGTGAAATGAAAAACAAAAGTAAAACTAAGCTAAACCAACAAAAATATAGGGCTGTGCGAATAGTGAATTTTCCGAACGAAGCGAATAGCGAATAATTTAAGTCAATTATTCACAGCTACGAATAGAAAAACGAATAATTTGAAATGACTTTTTTAAGTGTGAAAATTCGCAAATCTTACAGAAGTCGACAAAAAAATGATTGATTTTGGTATGATTAATTTTTTTAAGAACTTGCTCATACACCTCCACAGAAAACAATGAAATGCTATGATAGTAGCCTAAGCTGTTAAGAATGTGTTTGAAGATCTCTGGATGCTGGCTTGACTATCCCTGCAGTTACGTATGCATTCCCAGGATTTGGAGTTAACTTCGCAGGCAGTCAAGCTAGTATCGAAGGATCATCAGACACATTTTATTATTTTATTTTTTTTTGGTATAAATGAATAGGTGTTTATGAACTTTTTTTTTCCTATTTCAGACATTTCTGTGTCTTTCAATTCCTTAATTTGGGCTCTCCGCTTATTCCAACCTTCCCTTCCACATACTTCTGCCAGATATTGCTATTAATTTAACTTTCAATGTGTAGTACTCATGGAGCAACGAAGATATGTGGGCCAATCCCAATAGCGCTCGCTGTTCGTAAACTTGGCAAAGTTGGTAAAGATCAAAGGGGACCCGCCGTTCGCGATGTCTCGGATGGAAGGAGAGGTCTTGTGCAGGTCCGCGCAACGTTTCACGATTGCCAATCGGAGATTCGTAAGTTTTGATGGCGCGAATTATTGAGAATTTGTTCCTCGTGACGGCGCGAATATTTGAAAATGTCACTTCAAAAATTCACTATTCGCGACGGCGCGATTATTCGCGATTTGCGAATAATACGCGAGGCGGACGAAGCGAATATTCGCCGAATGTTCGTGGCGCGAATCTTCGCACAGCCCTACAAATATTAATGCGTTAGAGACGTTATTATAGAGGCAAAAAATGAGCCACTCCTGGCCCAGAAATTTTCAGGAATTTTTTAAAAGATTGAAATTGATGAAAAATAGATATACTCACTGATATAAATTCCTAGTAAAATTTTATTTTTATCATTGTTGAGGTTGGATTTGGTATCGGAGGTGATCTGTATCAAAGCGGCGGAGTAGGTTGGATCTTGATTCAAAACATTGCCGATAGTATCGGTATAATCCACTAGCTGCTCTAAAAATACTAATACATCACTTGTTAGCTGATGAATGGTGCCATCACAAGGTAAAGCTGTGCCAGAGTCTGATCTCACGTTTTCGATGAATTCTTCTAATCCTTTAGCAGCCTGTAAACAGAATGTATTTTATTTTCATTCATGGTAAAAATTGTTCCCTGATCTTTTTTTTTTCTTTCTTTATTAGTGAAATAGGTAACTACAGAGTATTAATCCTAATTATGCTACCTATAAGGTATATACAATATTAAATGGGTGGGTCGGTCAGGAGACTGTCCCTAGCTATTTACAATGAATATAGGTACCATATACAATGATTAATTTAGATAAGCTCTGATCTTAAATCAATACTTTCAGTAGTACGACAAGCTGAGTGATAGCACTACGACATGATGGAAGCCTTATGCAAAATGGAAAGGGGAAAAATTAACTTTTTTCCCCCCTTTAAAAATTGCTAAATTTATGACTGGATGTCACTACTGATTTTGACATTGATGGAACATTTCATTGATTTAATGAGAGGCATTAAAATCAGCATAAAGATTCGCATGACCCATGAAATGTCAGAACTCGTAAGACAAAGCACATCCTATTATTTAAACAAGTAGCAAAAGCTACCTGCTGAGGGGGCGCCGCCCCCCCAGACCCCCCCTTTCAAATTATATATGTGAGACTTTGAGTATCATAGAAGTCGTGCGGCGACATGCCGAATGAAATGCCACAATTAAAATTATTGGATCAGATGATGAGCTGATAAAAGCCTTACCTAGTAATTTGGGAACATTTCTGACACAGTTTGGTTGCTTTAACTATCACTTTGATTTGCGANCCGATATCAATACCTCATATGTTACTTGGTTCCTCGAAAATTCTCCTCTTGGACTTAGCCTAAAAGTGTGGACACTTTTTAGCCTCCGGCGAAACCTAGAGTCTATACGGCTTCGCCGCACGACTAAAAAGGACTTATTTTAGCCTAACATTCCATGATACTAACAGAGATTAGAGGGCCTTTAACTCACGAGGAGGAAGAGAATAGTGTGCAATCACAGTCGATACCTACCGTTGAGTGAAGAGTGGTTACAACAGATGCGAACTGCTGTCTGACATTTAATTCGCACCCTTCAACCACTCGCTCGAATTCAGGTTTCAAATTGAGAAGATGTTTCAGTATAGGGAAAATGATGATTGCTCCCCCGAAATCATGATGTGATATGCACCGTTTTGTCCGAGCAGCAATATTCTGAGAAAAAGAGAGTAGCAGAAATTAGAATACCAATTTAAAATGTCAGCTAAAAATCAATAAAAATGATAAATGTAGTCAAATTGGTTTGGGACCTCAGAGTGTCTTCGCAACTTGTTTTGGGGCCCTTCTTAATAAGTCTGTAAAATAACCCAACAATGAATTGGACTTTACACTGTTTGACACTTCCGCAACACAGTTGCTTACAAAGATGCTTGCATATAATGATAAATATGTATATTATCTCTGGATAAAGACAACATTTAAGTCACATGCTACAGAGTGTGGATACTGTTGAATCGACGTGAAATCAATATAGTTACTTAACTTACCGATGTGTACTTTAAACAAGCGCACATACAATTTATGCAATATTCCTGTTAGAAAACAGTTTTAATTTGCCTGTCCATCTTTTTCCTGCCACCTATCCTCTACTTTTTCCTACCTAATTTACCTTTTACACTTATTTCCCTACCCACATACTACAATTGAGGCATTGGACGCGAAGAGGGCACTTCTCGGTTGCAGTGTTTCAGAGTCTTCTCTAATATTTCATTTGTTGTAAGGAAAGTGAATGCATCCATTCCACTAAGAATTTTATTGAATATTCCTCGTGATTTTACAATTTTCTATGAAGATAATTCTGAAAAAATCACCCATTAAATTCTTCTCCAAGGAATTAATTAGCAACAGAGATTCTGAAACACCGCAATTGAGAAGTGCCCTTTTCGCATCCAGTGCCTCAACTAAGCAGTGAGAAACCTAACTTTAGCCGGTAATCGAAGGTAGATACCTCAAAACCAGCATGAGGAATTTTAGTCGGCTCAGCACGACTTATTTTGAAATGATTGGGAGGAGACAGATTTTCCAAATTTATAATACCAAGGACACTATCAATGAGAAGTCCGCAAGGACGAATAATTTTGCAAAGGTACTTAGGAATATTGTGATTACCTTCCCGTCTTGAACTATGGTTTTTAAGGCATCTTGAATGATGATCTGGAACACTTGGTGGATATGTTGAAGAGGAATGATACCATGCATCAGTGACTGTTCGCTTGTCATCAAGCGCTGAAGGGCAACGACGGTGACAAGATAGTTTTCCATTTCTTGCTCATCCACAATATCCTCACGATTTTCTGATAAAAAATGGAAATTTTACAAAAATCTCATCATTCAATTTTTTTTCTTTGGTGCTTTTCTATGCTGATCAAAAAACCAGATAAAATCTATCTACTAGTTATTAATGAGTCTCATGATAAACCGTTCGCGTTTCTTTGGAGACTAAATCTTATGAAACAGAAAGACTAGGATGACATCATTCAGACCATAAACTTTTGGCAGTTACAAAATTAAAAATGGAAAAAAATTAAGTTCTATTCAAAGTTGCTTCTACAGACTGTAAATTGCTGCAATGTAGGAATTTTCAGAGCAATCGCATGTTTTACAGAGTTTGAAAAAGTGTCATCGTTTGGAGGTTTTCTAAGAGGTAAGAGAGAATTGGAAATGAAAAATTAAAAAGTACTGTGGAATTCGAAATCAAATGGGAGGTAAGAAACAAAATGGATCCCAAAATAGTTACAAAATATTTTCAGAAAATGATTTCTTACCGAGATGTATGTTGGATCTTCTGTTCCCTAATGATAAGCCAGTCGAATTTTCTAAAGTTTGCGATGCTTTCAAAAGCATTTTATTAGCCTTCTTTTCAAAAATTTGCAATCTCTTAGAGGCTTTACTTCTGGTGACAGACTCAATTTTACTTGGAAATTTTGGTCTTATATTCGGGGAAACAGCGGAGACATTCTGCATACTACTTCCACTGCCAGATTTCTGATGGTCCTTCAACAATGTTAGAGACTTCATTAAAATGTTTGCTCGAATTCTGGCGTAAATATTCATAAACTCATCACGGGTCTCAGCAATTAACCAGTCTGCCATTCGAGTCAAATCACTTAAGACAGTTTCAGAGAAATGACCCAAAGATCCAACCGATGAGCAATCATCATGAAATAGTTCTGAAAACAAAAAAGAAAAAATAGTCTTTCTTATCAATTATCTGAATTAAGATTCAATCAAAATAGGAAATCGAGGAAAAACCATAGGTTAGAACTACCCAGGATATCGTCTGGAATAAACATTTTTTGTTTTAGTTATTTTTTATTTTAATGTAAAGCATAAAAAAGGTTTATTAAGGTTTATTTAAATAATTCATAATTTACATTCAACCATAATTTTTAACCAATATGCAGATCCAAAAAAATTTATGGTAGTGATGGACTTAATAATACAAACAAAAATCAAAATACCTTCATCGTTTGCCACAAGGTCGAGAAGGGTGATGGGTGACACAGGTTTACTATGTTTCAACAATAATTCTTTGAATTCTCGATTCAGAGCATCTATTCCTGCGGTGAATAATGAACACTGAAAAAATAGATCAAAAAGAAAAATAAGTACACGATAATGTGTGGACATTTGCAAGAGAAAAGAACTCAGTGCTCTAAGGTTCCAAAGCAAATCAATTAAAGCAAAAGGAACTATGTAGCATATGAACCTAATGCAAACTGTTTCTTTTTGTTCGATTCATTTTCAAATTGTTCCTTTTAGCATGAATGAGCAGGTCCAATTGGACCGTGTTAAGCAGAATGGAACCAAGCCACATCAGCTATTGCCAATTTTAATTCGGCAATTAAAATTTGGCAATTTAAATTTTTACATGAAAACGGCTATGCCGATTTTTATGATAATGCTAATGAATTTTCTGCTTAGTTTGAAGCAAATTCCCTAAAATTTTTAAAGGAATCCGCACAAACTTTTTCGTGTAAAAAAATTAAATTGCCCAGTTAAATTTGGCAATAGCTGATGTGGCTTGGTTCCTTTCTGCTAAACGCGGTCCAATTGAGACATTGGCACTATTGCACAGGGGAATTTTTTGGCGAAAAAATTCCAAGAAATTTCAAAATGAACCACAATTGTAATGATTTGTAGTTCCCAGTTCAAAAACTGTATTTTTGAAAAAAATCTATTCGAAGTTTTGATTTGCAAGATTTGTCCGATTTAAATGCAACTATACATTTTTGATTAGCATACAAATGGACCAAGTTTAACAGAAAGCAACAAGTTTGAACCAAGAGAAAGAGTTTTGAAGTTTTATACCTCCATAAGAGTCAAGGTTAAGCATAAAGTTTAACAACCGTTTTAATGTTCAAAATATTTTTTCTTAACTTTGCATTCTTGACAGGAGAAAATTTTATAAATGGTTGAATTCAAAACCACTCCTAACTCAGTTACTCCTAAATAAAACACCAGAAAGTGCTCTCTGGCAAAAATACAACTTTTAACTTTTCGAGCCAACTTGAAAAAAAATCTGTGACTTCTCGACTTTTTAAGGTTTATCTTTTAAACATACCACATTCTCAAGCTCTACACTTTGAGGATTACTCTTTTCAAAGTAGCGTTGGGCCTGCTGTAATCTTGTCATCGCAGCGAGGAACTGTTCTAGGCCCTCCGGTCCGCTTGGTCCTGCTCTGATTACTACCTCAACTTCTTTGCTGACACCGTAGTAACCAATCACATCGTCCAATGCAGCTACCGTACGTTCTATATCTGGAGGGGAAAAAAAAGCCCATTAGCTCAAGCACAGCCAGCAAACAGTCGACATAGAAAAATAGCTACCAGAAATAGCCGGCATAAAATACAGCTATCAAATTTTCCACACACACACACAAAACCGTTATTGTAGATTTCCAAAACGACACTAACTCCATTATTTCAAAAATATGAATTACTTAGGTGCCTTTTAGCTCTGGGGTGCTGATGTGATTATACTTATACAACTGCTTTCATAAAAAGGTTTGCATCAAACTGCTGTGGATCCAGATTTGGACCACATTTTGCAATTAGGAAATACGATTTCTGGCTCATTCGTAAAAACACTTAGGAGCACAGGGAGACTAACAGTACGTGCGTTGTTTCTAAACTAAGCCAAATTTTGTAGTTCCTAATTGCAAAATGTAGTCCATTGAAAGATCCTTCGGTTTTAGCACGGGAGGATGGGACATGCATCAGCTTTCATACTGGTTCAACAGACAGGAAAATTCTTCGGGCAGTTGCCTAAAAACCAGCTTGCTGTTTATCTTAAATTTGTGAAGGGGTGCAGGAAAAGCTCAACCCGCTGCAGGAGAAATGTGAGAACACCTGAAGAGGAGGAAAAAATGTGAAGGCAGCGCAAATTTCTGCAAAGGAGACTGTGCAATGCATTCTTTGAAGTGAAGAAAATATTGAAGCATGCAGGTTTGTGTGGACAGCAATGCGACAGCTACTTAAAAAAAATGATTAAACAAAGTATTCTCGTGTGGACACAGACAGCAATGTAAAGGCAGCCTTAAAAACTGTGAAAGCAAATGACTTTCTACACCCTTGGAGGTGGGCGACTTCAAGCCTCCCATCAAGACTGAAACTCTGAGGAAACCTCTCTGGTTCTCAGCGGTTTTCAACAAGAGGCTTTTCACAAAATTTCCAACCAATTTACAAAAAGATGACATTTTTTCTCTGTTTTCCTTTGACTTTCAACTTTTGACCCTGTAAAATTTTCCCTCCCACATTTTCAAGGGCCCAAGTTTGCATTTTTTTTACCCCTGTTTTCTTCTGGAGTCATCTTCGTGGTGTCAACTTGTTGTTCACAAAGTCTAGAAAATTTAAAAACTTACTTTGCTGTCTTCGTTGCAAATTTCCAGTCTCATTGTAAATGGGCATAATGGTGATCTCTAACTTGGACAATCTGTTTTCAAACGATGACAAGATGCTGACCATTCCTTTGGTTATTTGACTGCTTCTTTCCATTTGTTCCTTTAGAAGTGCCAAGTTCTTTGTTTCCTGCAAGAAAATTTGCACTTGAGTTAAACAACGGCAGTCTTCATTGCTTATTAGCACGTTTTTTCAAGACTGCAATAGATAGATTAGTTACTTATGTCTAAATTGGGGGAATCCACACAGGTCAGTCTCTGCGCATCTTTCTGAGATCCACTACCCTGCCCAAACTTTACTCGACTGCAGCCAGTGTGACTTAGAATCTGCTCGTTCCATGGGAAGTGCATGACACTTGAACTTCTCACTGCAAATGCACAGTAGGGTTTCAAAACTGCGATGTTACGATGCAATCAAGCCCCTCTGATACTAGTCCCTTCACAGGGAATATGTGCTGATGGAGAAATTGGATTCTAAAATCCTACCCACTTGATTGTATAACTGTAGCAACAATTCGACAACTAAGTGAAGCAGTAAGGTTCATGAGTCATGACTGATACCACCATGTTCAATTCTATCACTGTCTTTGGTTTTTCTATAGATAAAACTCCATTCTTTGACCTGCGGGCCGATTTTATAATTGTTCTTGTCTGATCCTAGTTGAAAAATCCCTGTCTTAGCAGTGTTCTTCATCGACCAAAGTCATTGAATAACAATTCAACAACCCAGGCGCTGGTCATTAAGTAGTAAAAAGTTAAAAAAGTAGACTGCTGACTGTAGACTGTTTCATGAGGGAGTCGCTCCAGATTAATGCTGAATAGTAAAGGTGCAGGTGACCAGGTTTGAGTTATCAATGCTGAAAGCTGAAGGTTACGGATATTTTTAAGATGATGGGTCACAAAATTGTCATGCAGCTTGTCACTAAACTTACCTTCTCTAATTTTGAGCCAAAGCTCGACTCAGTTTCCTCGACTTTTAACATTGTTAAATCTCTCAAACTCTTGGTGACAATACAATTACATGGGTGATGAAAGAAACTGGCAAGTAAAAACTCAAATTTAAACTAATCTACGGGATTCATTTTTTAAAATTAAGTTCCAACTTTCATAATTTAATTTATGTAAAAACAGAAACACTCAACTGACAAAAACACCTCGGCTCTCGGCTGCTCCAGAGAATTTTGAGGTTATATACTAGAAAACAAAAACATTAATGACGTAAAAGTGCACAGACCGACAACCAATCAGATTAAAGCCACGGCTGACGTCACGTTAGTCCACCATGCAGCGGCAGCCAGCCAGCCATGATTTTTCTGCATCCAATCCAAGTTTTGACCGTTCTATAGAAATTGCATTATTTTATTTTCAGTAAATTAGGTACAATTTCTATGGATTTTTTGCACGAGTTTTCTCACATTTTCCAAAATTTCAATTTCGTTCACCGCTAACAAGCTTTATCGCCGTGCTTTTTCTCTCGCTGGTGAGCTCTCACTTTGATTATGTACCTCTCTCCAAGTTAATGACCTTTGTTATTATTGTGTTTGGCCTTGAATTTTCCAGTTTCTTGCGTGCCGATGCACCGTGGTAGAATCAATTTTATCTTCTTTTCTTTCGAATTCGAAAAATCGGAACACTGCCCCGGATTGTATCGCTGCACTTATAGCTACAAAGATTTTTAATCTTAATTCTGGCTCTTAGCCTGCCATGCATGGATTGTTTCCACAATGGAACCGTTCGTTTCCGTAGCATAACAGATTGCCTCCACAACTAAACGGATTTACACCCAATAATTAAGTCATCTCGTTTGAGGAAGCATGATTTTCCGACCTTGTACTCCAAACAAAAATATAACTGAATCTGGGCATGCCTTCTAACGCCAGGATGTAAGAGTGTTACAAAGTATAGGAGGACCGTACATCGTAACGGATGATAGTGGAAGGGGTTGTCTTCTCATGTGCAGGTTATTTGCCTTGTCCTCATCTAGGAAAACTATAGTAAGCACCACTTTTGTTGAAATTGAATCATTAATGATTTTTTTATACCTCAGAAATCTTAGTTTAGATAAGTGTTAGAGGTGTCGTAAGCAAATTTGGCACTTGTTTACATTCCGTTCGCAAGCGACCAGGATGCAGTTGTTCAATCGTAATCGGAGATTGATTATGCTCATGATTGGGCTATGGTCAATCCCCCATTACCATTACCATTGGAATTTGAATTATGATTGCTTGCAAGTGCAATGTAAGTAAGTGCCAACTTAGCTGATGACACCTCTAGTTAGTTCACAAATTGGTGCTCCTAATACTCAATTCTGAAGGAAACAATGTTATCATTAAGTATATTCTCCATGCTCTGTCGTTGTTCTCTCTCCAACGACCTCCCTATGACTTTAATTTTTAACTATACGGGGTGTCCCAGGATTAAATACGAATATTGAAGGAGTCGATTCTTTGGGTCAAAGAAAGACGTTTTTGTGGTATAAATTTTTTTTCCAAAAACGCTTTCCCTGGGCACCACGACTCCCCAAAATTGGAGGAAAAAAATCGTCTTTTTGACACTGCGGCATTGTTTATCAACCAGAATTGATGAAAATTGGCAACTGGGAGTAATTTTTAGCATTCTTTCCATTTATGACCTCCAAAAAAGGTAAAACTCATTTTGAGAGGGATTTAGGGGGGGAGGGGGGGTACCATGTGGCCAAAATTAATGTTTCTAGTGCCAAAAATTGATTTTTGACAGCATCACAAGATTCAGCGTTGAAAAATAGTGAGATAATAGCTCTGCGTATTTTCGCTCTAACTCGTCGTTTTCGAGATATTAGGGAATCACAGGAGCTTATAATAGGGGATTATAGGAGCTGATAATAGAAGGATAATGGGGCCCCTACGGAAAGCGTTTTTCAAAAAAGAGTTACACCACAAAAAACGTCTTCTTTTGACCCAAAGAATCGACTCCTTCAATATTCGTACTTAACCTTGGGACACCCTGTAGAATTTTTGCCTCCCTCCGCATGTGAATTGATCCTGTAAAGTTGTTTGATTTTTATCTTGAAGCATAAATATTCATCTGTCATTAGGTACCCTTGTATAATCTGTAAGCAGAGATGACTGAACACCAAGCTGCCAGTATTTCCAAACCCAGCTGCAACATGGTGGAAGAACCCAAGGATCTCACATTGAAGACTGCTGTTAATAAAAAATTGAGGCCAATCCCTCCGCCGCTGAACCTGTCTCAGAGTAGTACATCAGATGTTCCTTCACCAGCCTCGGCAAATTTAGCTAGTCCAAAAAATTCATTTGCTCAAAAAAGCTTGCCATTTCGAAAAAGGTGGGCCTCTCTAAAATATTTTTCGCTTTATGTGCAAGGTTTGTGATGCCTTAATTTTTATTTTACTCAAAATTTTTCGAACTTTGAAATCCTTGAAATCCAGAAATTAACCTAATGTGCTTGAAGGTCCTAGAATCTCACATCAACTGGTAATTTTTAAACGTTTTGACGGATTCTACAGAAATCAGCCTAATCATGTCAAACTTTGCCTACTTTCCTCTCGTGTTTCATTTTTCAGGAGGAAAGTAATTATCATTCTGACTTGAAACTTTGTGAGCATATTCTGCATTAGCCAGGGATAATGCACAGAAAGTTTCAAGGCATCATGTTTTTTGGTTCTTTGTTGAAAATGCAGTTAGGTTGATTCTGGTTAAATTTAATCCTTTGGGAAGATCACTTGTTTCTCTCTTTCTCTTTTGCTTCACAAACAGTGTTCGAAACTCACAGGCGCCAACGCGCCAAATGCGCCTAAGAAATCGGTCATTGCGCCTAAAATATGAAGGCTCTATGCCAGCGTGGCCCCTAAAAATTGCCCCCTCCCCCCGATTTTTCGAAATTTCTTCCAAGTCACAGCTACTTGTTCTGTAACTAAAACATCTTGCGTCTAACATTTCATTGAGTGCGCTGTGATATTTAGGAAAAAAGTCAATTTGGCCCCTGTAAAATCTTCAACAGCCCCTAAAAATCGAGCTTGATGAGCCACATGGCTCCTGAAACTCAGAGATGAGTTTCGAACACTGTTCATGAACCTCAAAAGTGTCAGATACCTAGCATCATCCAAACATTACACACCTGCTTCACAATGGAGAAGCAGTAGACAATAAGGAAAAAGGACAGGGGAACTTACTTTCAATCTCTTTGTTTCAGAGCTCACAGCACATCTGATTCTCCTCCTCAATCTCAAGCGCAACCTCCACAAGTAAAGCTTCAGAATGTGCTGACACCATCATGGACTATTCCTGCATCATTCCAAACCCTATTTGAGTCCACTCCAAGCCCCATGGACTTTCGTCTGCAAGATGTTGTTCCGTACCCAAACTTTGATCAGCGCCTAGCTCTCTCAACTTCAGTTCTTTTGAGTCCTGCCCCATCTTCCGTCGGGAGCAGTAGGGAAGAGTTGCTCCTTGAATCAGTGCGAGTTCCTTCATTGTCTCATTACTATCCACAGCAGATCTTCCCCGTTTGGCATTGCTTCATCTCAGGTAACAAAGGAGCAATTTCATTTTACAAGTGACTCTTTTCTGAGATACTTTGCTGGCGTAAATTATTGGCTATCTGCTACATGCCGATTGTTTTACTTGATAAGCTCTTTCTTAGACATCATATCGATGGATTTCTGTGCAATGATGTGCTAACTGCATTGTAGTTAGGAGTCCAATGTGGCCATCAAGTGTCTTCAGGACATGGCAGGCAAATTCCAGGAGTATAGAAACTTCTATATTGCCATGTTGTAATTGTATTATTTCGTCCATCCCTGTTTAAAATAGCATGTTGGCTCAGCTACTTCAGTCGGTGCCATTAAGGGATCAAGATCAACTTCAGGGTGGCTTTTTCCTTAATTTTAATCCTTAGATAAGGAGGTTTTTATCCGTAGCTCACGAAAGGAACTTCTCAAGCTGCCGCCTCTGATCAGGCTGAAAATATTGGTACGAACTCTTTGAATGGATCCATTACACCCGTATTTCTTTGTTTTTTCCAATGCGCCATGGAAATACTCTAAAAAAATTCTGAAAAGTCCGGTTTTGACTGCGCCCAAAGTGGGCCGGGAGGGCTGGGTGAGGCAAAGGAGCTCTACTTCCCCTTGCCCAGCCAGCCCAGGGTACACCATACACGAGCGCTCAAAATCGGACTTTTCGGAATTTTTTTAGAGTGTTTCCAGGGCGCATTGAAGAAAACAAAAAAACATGGGTCTCATGGATTCATCCAAAGAGTTGGTTTGAATTTTATCAGCCCGATCGGTTGCGGCAGCTTGGGAAGTTCTCCTTGTCAGCCAAAGTCAGTGTAATCCGAGGAAAAAAGATCCAAGTCAAGGTTTTTGATGATAGATCAGGAAAAATCAAGGAATCTTTTGCTCCTCCAAAGAATAGTTTCTGACAAAATTTCGAAGTAAAAAAATAGACGTTTAAAATTTGCGTAAAGATAGAGTGGGGTAAAAAGTTGACTCAATACACTCTAACAATCCATGAGTTATAAAATACGCAAAATTCACGTCAAGATAGCAATTTTTGGATATTAAGAATCAGGGGTGCAGAAAGTTCCTAAACATCAATTGTTAGCCACTATCCAGAGTTTCTGCCACCTCGCCAAATTTCCAAGTTTTTTCAGGGAAAAGTGCTTGATTTCTTATCTAAATGTGTGATTTTCCCCCCATTTCATTCAAGTTCTAACAAAAAAGAAAAAATCATCACTTTGAAAAATTGCCTACTTGCACCCTTTTTCTGCAACCTTGCTCCGGAAAATATCTTCATAAAATTTTTGTCTGTTAGAGACAACTTCTCTTCTCTCTGCTGGAGGTTTGTGAAATTTTGTGGCCAACTTTATTATTACTGAACTTGAAAAATGAGGCGGATAAAAATTAGTTTAATTTCTATCAGCAACCTTCCCACTGAACCTATAGATGATCTCATTTTCGGCTTTAGGTACGAAAATCAAGCTGCCAGCCAAAGCAGGAGAAAGCAATTTGAACAATGATGACTGGCGCCTAGTTGATGACTTACCGCACTCCAAACTGCGACCAGACTGGCCTGGGAAACTCACTGTCGAACAGATCTTCATTATCAAGAATGACTGGAAAAAGGTTGAGGATGGTTGGAAGAAGGTTGAAGAAGGATCAACGTTTGACTTCCGAATTAAGTTCAGTTGCCCTGATGGTGAACTTGAAGCTCTCTGTCTCGGATCTCAGATGTTCTTCACGACTGACAATATATGGTGCTGTTTAAGTGTAGACAGGTTGCGTGGCAATAGTCGATTGCTCCAGGTAGGCGACATCTGTTTGCCGCCATCTATGATACAACCAGCTCAACTTCTCCTATCCTCTCTGGATGTTAGTGAGCGTTTGTACTTTCCATTTGTTCCTGCCTCACCAGATATATGTGATCGAATGCAACGGTAAGCATTTAGAATGTTTTTCAAATCATGTATATTTAAAAGCATAATGGTTCCTTCACCATAGTTATATTTTTTCTAAGGTATCATGATCGATTCTTATATGAATTTTCAAGAATGGCACCTCCAGCCAGGGGTGCAGAAAGTTCCATATCATCCCTGAAATTCGATTTTTCTTCTCCCAAAGTCAATCAACCTTCCTCCCTTGTAACCAAAAATCACAATGACCTCCCTCTGGAGACAAAAACAAATTTTCCAGGGAGCTCAACAGACCATGCGCAGTTTTTTAGTTAAAAAGAAGAATCAAATGTTAATTTTAAAATGTTGTTGAATTAAGTCTACAGCTGTTTTCTCTGAGAGTCCGAATTTCAAAACCATCGCTGTTCCTTTAGTTTCAGCTTTCCAAACTGTGCGGACGAGCCATTGCCGATGCTTTCTCCTCCCACTACACCAACGAGAGGAACCCAAGCAGTTCCTGACAAAGCGAAGAGACCGATGAACGCTTTCATGCTGTTTGCCAAACGCTATCGTTTAGAACTAATTCAGTCAAATCCTAGCAAAGATAACAGGTACTTGAGTCATTTCTTAATCAATTTTATACTAACACTTCTCTTAATCAAATAGTAGGTTTCCAAAAATAACTCAATTTTTATAGGCCCAAATGATAGTTCTGTGCTTTATCTAAAAATTCTTCACATTGGACCAAATAGAGAACATATTAATTTATGGATAGAATCAGTGGTTGCCAAGAGCTAGTAGACTTCAAGCCAATCCAAGTAATGAAGTGCACCCTATGTTAACATTTTCAGAACATTTTAAGTGCGAACTTGATCACATCCTAGTCCAAGCAGAAGTTGATGAACTTAAATATGAAAACAAATTTGATCATTTCAGGAGAACCCTGCATTCTTGAAACAGTTCAGCGCTGCACTTCTCTAAGATATAGTCAATATCCTCACTGGAATGTTTTGAAAATCATGGAATCTTTCAAATGAGGAAACAGGGGTGTATCTTTCAGGCTTCCAGCAGACTGATTGTTGAAATTTTGTGTTTGTCGGCTAGACATAGGTTAAAAGGCGGAACGTGATTGGTCGGCTCTATCTTATCGCTGCTTTGTCGTGCCTATGTCGGGTGGAACTTACGACAAGCTGAAGGCAGCTCTTAAGTTTCTGTCAGTATGTCATCCAATCCACCTGACAAAGGCACGATAAAGCAGCGATGAGACATTGCCGACCAATCATGCTCCGCCTTTTAACTTATGTTATCTATGTCTACCCGACAAACACAAAATTTCAACAATCAGGCTGCTGGGGTCAATAATCCTCCTGATTGTGGGATCGTGGGTTGTGAGGAAACTTGGAAAACCGCCAAAAAGAAATCACTATATTTCTGCAAAATTATAAATTTGCCCCCTGCCTATTTCACAAAATTGTACAGAATTTTGTCCAAAAAATGATTAAATTGGATCTTTGATGGTAAATAATAACTCGTCGGATTGTGAAAGTCGTGTTTCTATATTCTTGGAAGTTTCCAAAATGATTTTTATTCATATAAAAGAAAGAGGTTGTCACTTTTCTTGGAAGGAGCTCAACCCCGATCCAGCAATTTTTGGAAAGCTTGAAAGATTGTCGATCCCTGCAGGCTTCCACATCAACAAACTTTCAACAAAATTTCCCTCCAAATTCAAAAGTGATGATGTGTTTTTTTTTTCTATAATTTTTGACTATTCTTTCTTAAAACCTCCAGTCTTTCCTCCTTTTTAGAGGCTTGCCACATTTTCTTGGACCAGTGCCTGCCCGGGCGACGGGCGTGTGATTGGGCGTTTTCTGCATCCTGTGAGAAAATTAGAAAAATGTTTAATTTTTACATCACTCCAATAAATCTATAATAATTTTTAAGAGCTTCATGCATTTAAAGGATTTAGCATTTCCCCAAATCCCTGAGTTTGCGCTCAAGCAAATGATTCAAAGTCGATTAAAGGCTGGATACGAAACCTTTACACTGAATGTGTTCAAGCTTTCCATACTCATGGTGTATTCATTTGGTTGCAGAGCAATCAGTGTTCTTTTGGGTGAGGCCTGGCGGCAACTACCACAAGCAGAAAAGGATGTTTATATCAATGAAGCGAGATCTTTGGCTCATCACCAGAAACTGCTTCATCCGGATTGCTGGAAGCGAAAAAGATCTCATTCCACGAGTTGATGAGGTAACTTTCAATTCTCTGCACAATAACTATTCTTTTGTAGTGCCTTGTAGTTAGCATAGAATAATTCTTTGCTTCAAGTTTCAACAAAACTAAAGATAACTAAGTAAAACTTGTTATATGCCCTTTCGTTGACGAATATTGCTTGGTTACCTATGAACTCAAAGACCATGCTCTCTGGTCCCTGCACAACTTGAGACATAACCATAATTGTGTAAATATGGTACAGCTTTGTATCGTTCATTTTGTTTTTTTTTTTTTTTTTTTTCCTAAGATGCTGGAAAAAATTTTCTGCTCTTTTATTAATTCTTCGTTTTTATATTCGGTTTGAAAGAAAGAAAAGAAAAAAGTTTCCAACAGCGGCACAAAAAAAAATGAAAAGCTACGTATGACCTAATTGCCTGAAAAAAACAAACGGCAGAACTTTGCTTATTGCCTCTATGCAGCTAATTCTTTCTCAGATTTTTGCGTCAATACTATGGTTACATCTTGGATCGTACAACTATTAGACCTTCTTGCAAAATCGTTTTAGATGTTGCCAAGTGGTATTGCTGGCAAAAGAGCATTTGAAAAGTTTCATCACCAAAATGAGAATAAATTGGTGATGTGTTGCCGCACAACCTGCATACGAACTGCTCTAACTCGGCCAATTTATGTTTTAATAAGCTAATCTTGGTTTCTCTCAATGTGTTACTCTCAACTGAGTTGTAGATCAACTCAATGAATTGCTTGGTTTATGAATTACAGCATCAGTTCAGATTATTCTGGGGCATCATGGTTATGGTTTTCTTTTTTTTTTTTCTTCTTTTTTTTTTAAATTTATTTTTAAAGCCATACTACATGTTCAATCCTATTTATAAATTTGCAGAATCACTTCTTAAGAACAACTGAATTTTTTATTATTTATTTAATTTACCCTTTTTTTCGAGCCTGCATCAAACATAAACAACCATCAGCAATATTTATTCATTTCTCATTTGTGAAGAATAATCTGCATTGACGGTGTTGTTAACTTTGCATTAACAGGTTCCTATGGTGAAGCTCGTCAAGATGAATTTAGACAGAATAAGCCAAGCACAATACAAGCGAACATCAGTCGAAGTTCTTGGAATCAACAAGCAGTTTCCCTCTATTTTTCTCAGTATTTTACTATTTTCTATCTCTGATCATCTGCGAATTTTATTGTGCCTTATGTTTATTTTTTTATAATATTATTAATTATTTTATCATGAGATAATTGACATTTTATTTTTACTGTACATGTTCAATTTAGATTTGTTGAATTTTTACTATTATCAACTCTATTTTTAGCGACTCTCGACAGTCTTTTTCCGATTTTTTATTTTATATGGTGCTCATCATCAATTGGTTTGCTTCAAAATCAGGTGCGAGGGATTGCCCTTCAATTTCTCAAATTAAATTGGGAAGTAGATTTGGTCTCGGACGAATTTTTTGCTTCCTAAACACTGCGGCAGGCAACCTGTTAAAAAATTGAAACACTAATGCAGTCTATCCACTCAGTTATGGCATCTCATGAAAAATGAAGCTGATACATTGTAACATGACCCAAGAAAATATACTTCAAAGATTTATTAATGCTTGATACCACAATTTATGAAGAATCATCGAGTCTTTCGGGTACTTATTTTCAGGGTTTTTCAAAATCTTCATTTACAATGATAACCTACAGCTCAATTCTTACTGATCATGATTTTTAGTAAGTGACCTATAGTTAGCCTATGTTTCAGTCATGTGTTGATGTATCTACTGAACAAAGCTGTATTCTTTTTCCCAAGCTGAAATATTTTTTTGTGATGCCAGTTTTGGTGCATCTGCATTAACGCCAACTTCAGTCCATATTTAGCTCGGATTTGGAAGGTTCCTTCGAGAATTTTATAGTGCCATTATTTGAAATGAAATCTCTGAAAAAATTATCAAGGCCATTATGTTTTATTTTATTTTATTTTATTTTTTTTTTTTTTTTTTTTTTTTTTTTTTTTTTTTTTTTAGGATAATCAAGAAAACATTTAAACTCAAAGACCTGTTTAAACTACTCATAGAATTTGTATCGATTTCAGAAAACCACTCATGACTGTATGATGTGATATCCATACTTGACCGTCCATAGGAGAAGGAACGTAATAGTAAAAAGCTCTGTAATTGAGGTACTACTATGTCAGGGATAAATGCTCTTTGCTAAGTAATAATGGAACATTTGGCATTAGTAGATCGTTCAGAAAGACATCCTAATCATGAAGGCAATCATAATCTACCTTCAAAGAGAACTGATAATTGCTGGCTCAGATTAACAATATGGGGAGAAAACTGTGTGTATAGAAAAAAGTTACAAGGAAGGTTTTGAATGAGGCTTGAAAATTTTTCGTAAAGTGCTTCATTTTTTTTTATTCTTGAGGATGCATGACCATGTCAAGATGTTGAACCTAATTAAAGTTTCAACAGTTTGAAGTTAGCATTTTTGTGTTTAATAGCGTGCAGTTTGAAGGGAAAGCTGTACAATGTCACAACTTTATTCTTCAGGACACTAGAAAGCACTTTCCACAGATACCTTGGGAATTCTCAACTCAAGTTAAAGAAATTTGCTCTGCTGAAAAACTGGCTTCCATGCCTCAATAACTCCCTTTCCTTTGGGCGGTCCACACATCATGCGTTGACTACGATTTAAAGCTTGCATGTCCCATTAATGACCAAAATTTGAATTTTTGTTTTTATTTGATTAAGAAGTGCCCCCCTTCCCAGGTCATCATGCAGGTTTACACTGGGCAGTTACTTTGTAGGCCCAGCGCTTTGTTCTGCAATATTTTTACGAGTGGAATCATATTTCACATCTTAATTTGTTTCGGATATCTTTATGTATACGTTAATGTGTGTAGAGTCAATGACCTTGGTTGTCCCAGATACCTGAAATCGGAGAATGAGACGGATCTTGGTAAAATCTTTTTTGAATGAACATCTTCAGGTCTTATTATTGTTCTAATGCATTTGTCTTTTTGCTTAAAATTCTACTTAGCTGATGATGGATGATATGTATGAAAATACATATATGTGATACGAAAAGTTGGAAAGAATCCTAAACACAGCGCTGTCAAAAACCTTTACTCATGCATGACAATGTATGTTTTTTTCCTCCATTCGCTGATTTTTTATTTTAGATTAAGATGAGAAAGAGACCTAGGAGAAACTTCAAGTAGGGTTTTAAAGTTTTCCCACTACTCTTCTCAAATTTTTAATTTTTTATTATTTCGGATATTTAAAAGAATGATCCACACAATGAATCATAGACAAGGTATGAATTAAATCACTGCGCTGTATATTTTCTTCTTCTCAAAATTTCACAAGGAAAGGGAATTACACAATGGAAAGTCTGACAATCAACACCTGAACAAGATGTAAGCGTTTATAATTAGTATTAGTCAAATCACTGAAATATAAATGACGCCTTGACGTTAATCGAACTTCCATTTAATCAGTGTAAAAACGCTTATCAATACCTCAGCCAGGAGTTGATTTCTGAACTTCCCATTGTGTGAATTACTTTTAATGTTAGATTTTGAAGAGCAAACATGTTTTGTCAGACCTTGTTTTGTGGTTCCTTTTGTCATGTGTATTTTATTACCGGTTCACTATTCAAGCTGCATATCTTAAAAACTCATTTTCAGTTGCAATTTAGTGCCTGTTACATTTTGATGCTCTCAGATATTTCTTTAAGACTTTACAGGCATAACTGACTTGCAGAAAAGTACTGTATGAGTGCAACAACTTTTTAAGTTTGCTGGTGTTTTAATTTTTAACACTTATGGAAGTTAGAGTCAAGTAACATTGCAGCATTCCAGGAAGTAGCGATAAACATCTTATTTTTATTCTAAATGTGCGTATAAGTTTTTTTATCAACNCAAAAGCATTCTGTTCAAAAGTTCTTGGAGTCAGTCTCTTAAAGCCAGTGGCATCTCAAAATGATGGGACTTTAACCGGCACTGAATTGCAATTGAAAATGTTTGTATCCTTTCTCTGATCACCTGAGGTGCTCTCAGCCTTACTCTCAAGGTATGAAGATAGTGTGAATGATCTCTGATACTGTAGTTTGAAGTTTTGATCGAGACTGTGCCTTAAAAAAGTTTCCAGTTTATTTTCGTTACTTTTACGGAACAAATGGATCTTTTTTATCGTTGGAATTTATTTTGCTACTCTTTTTGATAGAATAATTTACTTGCTCATTCAATGTATAGCTTATATTGTAAATATTGTGATGTAACTTGTTATATATTTTGTATTCATACAAAATTTGAATGTAATATTGGAAATCTATTGTGAATATTTCTAGTTCACAAATATTTTTCCCTTGTTAAATTTTATTGATTAGTGTCTAAATAGAAAAAGTTTTTAATCTTTGATGATCGAGCTTGAACAGTTAAATGTCCTGTGCGTCATTTCGTGGCTTTAGCTTTTTTCATTCTTCAAATTTTGATTTGCTTTAATAAAGTGTACATCCTTGCTGGTGTAGATGAACAGGGTAACAATTTCAATGATCAGCAACTGTATGTACAACATTTTTCTATTGTCATGTTGATTTGCACAAATCATTCCGATCATTAGCTTGAAGGTGTCCTAAATAGCTAACAGTCAGGAAAGATCCGATAGATTGTAGATGTAAACTTCACTTTCAATGTTCTACTCAAAACAATGAATAGGATTTGAATCCATCAGATGAACCTGCTTTGAATAGTTAGTTACGGTATAATAATTCAATCCATTTCATCCATGTGTTGCCTAGCGCTCCGGAAATCAATTGAAGAGTGCCAGGAACTTAGACTCAAACTTAAGTCTTTCTCAATTAATATTAAGGCATTGTATCATTTAATGCATTCTGTTTTATGAATTTTTATTGCTCCGAACTTCCACTGACATTGTTACAATTATTCTGAAATACTAATTAAATTTAAATGTCCAATTTTTGAAATTGTTATTTTCTCCCTCCCAGTTTTTTGAATGGAATGAACAATCAACCTTAATTGGCCCCTATCTGAGCCTGCGTTACATGTGCCTTTCAGAGGAGAGGATATTCAGGGCTGCGTTGCATAAAGAATGGAGGCACAATGAAAATTTAGGATGAAAAATCAATTCGAGGTGGCAAATTTTCATCTGGCAATTTTTTTGGCATTCTGAATTCTTTTCATGGAGGTGCAGATCTGTATCATTTAAGGGGGAGGGGAGTCAAATATATAATCCTATTTTTAGTGGTGCGTTTTTTACGAGGGGTTCCGTACATTGATTTTGAAAGTTTCAGTTTTTTGGGTGAATTAGTTCGTTAGTTGTAATCTGAAGATTCACCATTTTCATTACCTCAAGTAACAAAATTAAAATATTTTATGAAAAAAATTTAGAAAATATAAAGAAAAAGTAGCTAGCATTATGGAAAGTAGACAGAAAATTTAAGTGAATGTCACTATTTACCAAAGAAAATAGGTCTACTTCCTACAAAATGTATCTATTTTCCGTCTAGAAAATTGATAGGGCTATTTCCTTAAGGAAACATATTCAAAAACCTGGTGGAAAATAGAGAAAAATTGGATATTTTCTTTATCTATTTCTTAGAAATTTAAAATTCAGAAAACAGATACAAAAAACACAGAATGTAGACAACAAAATTGTCTGTTTTCCGTGTATTTAGTGTCCAGAGCATAGACAGAAAATAGAAGTTTTTTAATAATTTTCTCACTTCTATTTGATACATCTATTTTCTTTCCATTTTCTTTCTATTTTATTTATCTGTCTAGAAAACAGACAGTTTCTAAATTAGTGCTAGACGGAAAATAGAACCCCATGCTGCTTGGGACTGCATGTATGAGCAGCAAGTTTTATACCTCATAGAGTTGTTCAAATGTCATGAATGAAACTTGAAATTTTGTGTGGTGCCAACTTGATTGACCTAGTAGAGCCTTGAAGTTTCCTTTCCTCAAGATATCTTTTAATTAGATCTACAAGATGATCAGGCGACTGTACCGCTTATTTGTGATTTCACAGTTTTCACTGCTTCCTGCAGTGCACCTGCTTGCTGACACAAAAAATTCAAACCAACAGGATGGGAAAAGCATTCAGCTAGGTCATTTACATTACAGTTGTATCAGTCAATGATCTACAGATATCATTGGTAGACTAGGTTTGGCCATCCTCATTCTGGGAAATCCCTTCCAGAATCATTCCTGGAAGCTGTAAACCTAGTGAATATTTTTGTATGAAGTACTTAAAAAAAAAATGTTTAGATAGATATTTACAGAGAAAAAGAGGAGCAAGAATTGCATTTAACCATGGAATGCGTTTTAATAATTACTTGCAGCCATGGGGAAAGATCCCTTGGGATTTGCCTGTATAAGCGAGATCTTTCGGAAAATAATTCGGGTGGACTTCATGAAAGTGCAAACATAACCGCATATATGTGACTGTTTCAATATCTTTGAAACAACATAAAGAGGAGACAGTAATCAGTGAATACAACTCATCTGTAGCAACAATTGCCGCATAGCAAATTGAAGGCAGATTGAGAGAAACTTATATTCATGTTTAAATTTTAAATATGAAGTCTTCGTTTTCGTTGATTTTCTGGTCGATAAATTTTACGTTTACTTTCCAATTTCATCATCAGCATTGATAACTGTCATTTATGGACGAGTAGATTTTTTTATTCGTCCTTTTAATGTTTTTTTTTTTTTTTTTTTTTTTTAGCCGCAGGTCGGTTTGACAAAATCATCCTCATCCACTGTTTGGAGAGAAGACGGTGCTAGCTTACGTCACACATAAACCTCTCATCCAACTCCACCAATCACCTTTGAGTATCTACAAGTCACGTGACAGCTTTCACCCTCACCCCCCACCACTGTACAGTGTACATTCGCTAGCAACGTCAACATCATTATCAGAATACTAATAATTTCTTTTTTTTTTCCCACTGTATAGCGGCACATACCGTCTACTTAAAAATTGATAGAAGCAATCCGTTTTGTTTGTAATGTAACGTTAAATTAAAAAAGCCGGTTTGACCGTAACAGCTACCTCCAGTGTTTGTTGACTCAATGTTTTTCTTGAATGCCATCCCAATTGTTCGCCACACAGCCCAACGCAGGTGAGATTAAGTACTAGTACTTAAGATCTGTTTTTGTTCAACATATTCCTTGAAGCTATTGGATGGAAGTACTGTATGATCGTATCATTTTTCTAAATTTCACCATGAGAAAAATCTGATTTTTATAACGCCCATCATCAGCCCAGCTCATTGGAAGCATTGTTATCACAAAAGTTAGTTCAGTTGTATACATTCGTCTTAGGAAAAATTAGCAGGTGATAAGGAATATGCTGTACATGACAGCTTGTGAGAATCATCAGTGTTATAGCAGCATAAGAAGTCTTGTGCCTATTGCTAAACAATCCACCGTGAATTTACAGTTGGTGAAGACATCCATTACCAGCTTTTCAGCCTGATATCACGGAGACTAGTTTTAAGAGGCATTATATTCACCAGCATTAAATGCAACACTTCATGATTGGATCTTTTTACATTTGAATGAACCAATCCAAATTATTTCACGCTCACAATATTCTTGATGCTTGGTTCATTATTTTACACACCTGAGTTTTCCAGGATTTTATGACACAGTTGCCAATGAGAATGGAGAAGCCGTTGTTAACTAGTCAGTATTATGACGTCAAGCTAGTAGATATCTACCAAAAACAACAAGCATCGATAAGTAAGGCAGTCGCTGCGTACACCAATCAGAGTGACGTTTAATTGGCGGAAGTTGCATGAGCAGCGCGTTTGAATCTGAGCGGAGTAACGATTTTCGGTATTATGCTTTCAGTTCCTCAATTATCAGACAATGTCACAAATGGGTTTGTTAGTCTTCTGATGTGAAATTTCATCCTCTTTCGAAGAGGTTCTTATGAATTTTTGCATCAGATCAACCCCCAAGAAGATATCGGCACAAACGAAACATGCGTCAGGCGTTCTGCCATAAGAATGCTTGCTAAACCGGGGCCGAGTTTCATCTACTAGCATGACATCTCAGGAACGTAGTTACGGCCTCTCCATTCTCTAAGGCAACGATGACACAAATAGGGTGTTCGGAACCCTTGCTGTACACTGTCTTCGGAAATCCCATCAAAATTTGAAGTGAAAATCTCTCAGATCTAAGCTTTGCTACCCAGCTAATCAAGGTAAATTCTTTTGCTTTACTTTGGGGCCTCTAAGAAACCAATGCGGTTTTAGTATTGTTCTGAATTTCCCCGATTTGGCTCTTATTATTTATTCATCCTTTTTTTTCTTTTCCAGGATGAGCCGGATGTCTAGGTAGAGGATAAGACCCAGAAGATCCGTTGAAACCTCAATGTCAAATCAAACTGCTCTCCTCAAAATGCGACTGCCTCAGTTAAGAAGATATCGTTGCTACAAAATTTCTGCTGTTGCTGCGGTTGCCCTGTTCACTTTTTGTAGTTTGTACTTCAGAACACGTGGTAGATACTATGACTTGCTAGATTCTAGCTCTAGTGCCAATCACATGTACCCTGTAAGTGTACAATGAATTCTCTGAGTTTTGATATCAAGTTAGAGATTTTTTAACCAATTTTTTATTCTTTTTGTTTGGACAAAATGTTTTGACTTTGTTCATTTGTGTACAACTCAAAGGAAACAATAAGTTATTATTATTATTATTAATTTAAATAGGGCTTTTTTTACCCGTGGAATGCGATGGTAGCGGTTCGGGCTGGTTCAACCAGCCTAAACCAACCTCAACCTACCTAGGAGGAGTGGTCCAAGCGTTCCACTGGAACACATGGAACGCACTGGAACGCATAAGTGAAACGGGATAAAAAAGTGATTTGTTCCGTTGCGGTCCACTGTATTTCTGATAAAAAAAAGCCCTTTTAAAATTAATTTTTAAGAAGATTAATGGTGTTTGAAATGGACTTAAAGGCCTGAAATAGAGCTGGAAGCTTCCATTTTGGAATCTAAAGAATTATTTGCAGGAATAATAATTGTGAATTATGAAAAATTGAGAACTGGTTTTTTATAATGGAAAGTGCCAACCAGCATTCAATATTACAATTAGGTCTCACATTGAGTTTGGTAGTTATATTGTAGATAGAATCTGTCTCCTTTTCTGAACTCAGCAGCTGTATTTACCACAAATCATCGCCTACCTGGCATAAAGGCGTAACTGCACCATGCAATGAATACTTTTGTCCATATAATTCAACGCATTTCCGGCCTCGTCTCAATATGTAGTTACGCTCCTTTGTCAACCAGGCCAGGAAATAACTCCTTAGATTCAAACAAAGGAGGTGAATATGCTACAAGGTAAAATCGCATGACTTTTCTTCAAGTAATTAAAAAATTTCATCATTACTTAATGTCGTCTGAAATTACAAGCAAAAATTCTAAAACACCACAATCAAAATACTTACATATATGTTTTTCTTGCCCCACCTCTTATTTGTATTTTAGACCTTTTGATCAAGAAGGTGTAGCAAATTTAGCCACTGTTCAATTCATTTTCCAGAAACCATTCCTAGACAAGAGCAAACTTGGCAATTTTGAACCTGCAACAATTGTATTAAAGACCGGCCCAGGCGAAGGAGGGTTAGCTTACAAAATAACAGACCGAGAAAATGATGTTGCTCAATCAATATCAGACTACGGGATGAACATGGTTGTTTCGGATACCATCTCATTGAATCGTACCCTTCCAGATCTCAGAATGCCTGAGTAAGTTTCTCTAACTCTATCCTTGATTTTTGCTCTCTGTTAGTCGGAACTTTTTCAACTGAACATTTTCACCCACTCTATGGACTAAGAAGCTTGAGTGGATCGCATTTAGTGAAAAGGAACTAGCATAATTACAGTGTTTTCAAAACTCCACAAATTCTTTTTTTCTTTTAAAAATAATAGATGTATGTACAGTATTAAAATTTATGCAATTATTTCCCTATGAAATTACCAATTTTTTGGTGAGATGTAAAAACTATTTACTATTTTGAAAGATTTTTTTGATAATTATGAAGAAGCAACATTAAAACAACACTGTATTTGCATTGGTTCCTTTTTGCTAAACACGATCTGTGAAAGTGATCACAAGTGAAAGTAAGAAAGCAGGGGTGTAGAACATAAGTGATTGGTTAGTTGCAGTTGATAATGTGAAGTAAGGTGACAAAGGGTTTCTTGAAATGTGATAGCTAATGTACTGCCATGCTAAGGAAGAACGTTGTATGAGCCTCCAGATGTTGCCAAATTTCCTCCGATAAAAACCGAATTTACTGGGAAACTTGCCAATATTATTTTCCAAAATTTTCAGACAATTTTGTTTGCAATTTAACCTAAAATATCTGAAAATTTCAAGGACAAATATGCATGAATGTCGCCAAAAATACATGTTTTATCAAGGGAAATCTGGCATCTCTTAAATGCTCATACAGCATTCTTCCTTAGCACGGCAGTGTAGGCACAAGGTGTTTTTTTTTATGTTCTGTGATATCATAAATTTTTTGTTTGTTTTTGAAGTGGAGATTTCCAAACAAGAGCATTTCAGACCAAAAATGCTACTATCTAGTAGACTACTTACAGAAAATAAAATGGTTGGAAGATAGAACAAAATCCATCAATGACGCATTTTTTTTCAACTAGGAGGGTTTCAAAACCTATGAAAGATGATCATTGGTGATTTTTCCTTGTATGTCAAGGTTTCAAGGTTTGGTTCACTTTTTTTCCAGGTGTAAACATTGGAATTACCCAACGAAGTTGCCAAAAACTAGTGTCATCATTGTCTTCCACAATGAAGGATGGTCGTCGCTCATGAGAACGGTTCATAGTGTCATCAATCGTACCCCACCAGAGTTTTTGGAGGAGGTATTGTTAGTGGATGATTTCAGCGATAAAGGTATGGTCCTCTAGTATTTTCATTAAAAGTAAATGCTCTGTTTAGTTTCAAAAATCAATTTGCATTTTTTGGCTGCTTATTGGAAGTCTGCTCAGGTGAAAAGTCAAGAAAACAAAGAAAATTCCAATTTTTACATCCTAATGGTTTTACCCTTAATTCCAAATTAAACGTTTGGAATTAAGAAATGACTGTGCTGCCTGCACTGAGCTAAAATATTTTTTACATGGTATTTAAATAAAATTTCTAATTTAAAGTTAGTTAGTCAGTCAAAATACCATTTTTTTTTAATCCATGGAAGGGAATAATTATTAGATTAAGTCACAGAAGAATTCTCATGGAATTATTTTTTTTTTAAATTGGACAATGGCTGAAAAAACTGATGATTTGATTTTTGTCAATGAACTGATTTTGTGGTCAACATTATTGGATGTACATTTTTATTTGATGGTCTTAATGTTAACAGTTACACACCTTCGTTGTTTTTGTACCAAGGTGGGTAAATATTTCTGGCAATCAAACTATCTTGTGTTTGATCAATTTATGATTTACTTCAGATAAAATTTCAATGATCGAGACAATAAACACTCAACACAAAATTTGGACTTGAGGTTATGTTTTATGGTTTTCAGTGGAGCCCACAAACATCGATATTTCGAATATTGTAAGAATGACAGAGCCAGTAAATCAGTTTATTGATTGTACTATTGATACCTAGTAAATAATAAGAATTTAAGCAAATCTTGCTGTATTGTCTGCCAGCTGCAAGCATGAGAAAGATCAGAAAGCTTAGCACATTATGTTGAATTTTTTCATGCTCCATGTTTATCCATTAATGATTACCGCTCAGCTTTTCAAACAAAATCGGATCTATTGTTTCAGAAAACTTGAAAGAGAAACTTGAAAACTACATCCTGAAGTTCAACGGCAAAGTAAGATTGGTTCGGAACAGAGAAAGAGAAGGTTTAATCCGTACTCGTTCGAATGGAGCCAAAGAAGCGCGAGGTGAAGTAATTTTATTCCTGGATGCTCATTGTGAAGTTGGTTACAATTGGCTACCACCTCTTGTAACACCCATCGCCATTGACAGGTTCGTCTCAACTAGGTGTCACATTGATGTTTAGTGTGCGATTTAACTCAAGTAGATTATCGTTCCTTTTCATAAGCGGAAATTTCAAATTGATGCATCAAAAAACAAAGGAAATCCATCGGAAAATTTGCAATTTTGCAAATTTAAAATATGTGTCCAATCACTAGTTTCCGAAAAGTGCAGTGTACTGAATATCTGCATGTCAGAAATTGCGCAAATGTGTCTCTAATGAAGATGTAGTGAAGGCATTTTTTTAATAGTTCTCTTTGAGTTTAGAAATATTTGACCAGGTATCAAAAAATTTATGTGTAATGGAGATTTTTGTCTAATTATTCCCAGAACTCGAATGACTGTTCCAATCATCGATGGAATAGACCACAAAACATGGGAATTGCGTGCTGTGTATGAAGCAGGTCATCATTACAGAGGTATTTTCGAATGGGGCATGTTATACAAAGAGAATGAACTGCCGAGAAAGGAGGCAGCCAAAAGAGATTACGATAGTGAGCCTTACATGTAAGTTTAATTCTTTACTTTCGAACTTTTTACTGTTCATCATGTTCGATGTAGTGTTATTTTTTATTTTTTGTCAAAGTAAAAGTTAAAGAATTTTGATTATTTTGATCGGAGAAAGGTCACAAATTCTTTTCCACCAAGTCACATGACACTCTGGCAATGAAGTGCCTTCTAGAGCTCATATCAAGTTTGTTATTTTAACTCTCTATGGCATGAATTAATTTTGGATCTTGGATTCTGGGGGACACTAATCTATTTTGTAGCTTGCATGGAAAGTACCAATTTTCTTTCAAAATTTAAAATTTAAAATTATGCCACAGAGGAAAGATTTAATTTTTAAAAATGTGTTATGAATAAGTAATACCATGCCATAGAGGGCTCAGTATATAATATGAGGGATAAAAAATTCCAGTTGTGAAACTGAAAATTAAAATTCCTCAGTTGAATGGGTACTCCTCTCTTAAGAAATTTATAATAAAAATGAATAATTTTCTAACTAAAATATGGTCAAATCCAAAAAATTTGATTAGTCAAAGTTAGCGCTATCAACGTTTACCGAGATATTTTTTCATAAATTCCAGTTAAACCTTATCCAGAACTTGAGACGGATTACCTTGAACTCGATTACTTAAGTAAATTTTAGTTCAGTCTTCAATCTAACATTTTCTGTGTCCATTGATGTCTCCAGATCGCCAACCCATGCTGGAGGCTTGTTTGCCATCAACAGAGAATACTTCTTGGAACTTGGTGGTTACGATCCTGGACTGCTAGTGTGGGGTGGTGAAAACTTCGAACTTTCTTTCAAGGTAAATCAACAATTTCCATTGTAAACTTGCAGAACTTGATCATTATTTTATGTAATTTGTTCATAGACTTTTTTCAAAGTAAGTGTATTATCATTCACCATCACTGAGAAAGTCAGTGAGAGAAAAACTATAACCAAGAGAGTCGCTAACCCAAGATTGTAATTTTTTGCATTACTTCATGTCGCTCCGATAAGTAGCCCAACAGCGCTCGCTCCTGGTCAGGAGTGAATTTTTCCCTGTAGAATTCAAGCCATTTCCAATCTGTCAGGGTACCTTGTTTGGGATCAGCGGTGCGTTTTGGTCATCGCCGAGCCTATTTTTAGCTCCCATTTGCAATGTGCTGGGTGAAAGCAGAGAAACCTCAATGGATGTATGAAGAATTTTCACATGACCGCCTTTTCCAAATAATATCTTTAAGTAGCGAATTTACGTTTCCTTTCTTACTATTGTTTTTTTTTTTAATTTGGTCGTTCATTAGATCTGGCAGTGTGGAGGAAGCATAGTTTGGGTACCTTGCTCGAGAGTTGGGCATGTTTATCGAGGTTTCATGCCGTACAATTTTGGAGCCTTGGGCGCCAAGCATAAAGGACCTCTCATCACAATTGTAAGCCATTTTCTTCTAGTTATTTTCATTAACACTGTTGCTCCCTTTGTATAATTTTTATGGTCAAGAATTTTTTGGATTTTTTTAGATGATATTAACCGACAATAAACGTTTGCAAAATTGCATATTTTGAGCTTACTTTTGAATGTACCTTGCCACAGAAACCATGATAGTTTTCAAGGATATCACTTCCATTGCAGGTATACCTTCGACCGGAAGGTGTCTCTGTTGCGTTCTGTGTTGTGTGCACCCAAGCATTGTCTCATTTTCTGTCAATTATTATCGTCAGAAATAAGTCAGGGAAAGTCTCTACCAATTAAATGCACTTTCTACTTTTCTAAAATGCAATATTTGAAAATGACTAAACAAGCTGATTATTTCGTTACCTTCTGGCTGGAGTATCACAAACGTCATTTGTGCTTACGCTCTATGGAGTCAAACTTCTTAGACTTGTCCAGTTTTTCCAGAAAAATTAATGAACAGAATTGCTTGACAATTTTACCTTATATTTCTTTCGTCATTAAGATTACTCTTTGAAATTTTCATGAAAGTATGTGCAATTGTGCCGGAGAAAAACTAAAACAATATGTATTGAGATGTGCCCAGCAAAATGGTGTTTAAGCGTAAATGCTGCTTGTAATACTTTGACTGAAGGGTGATGATATGTAAAATTCTTATCTAAAGAAACATGAAAAGAATTGTAAAAATTGCTTTTTCTCTAGTAAATCAAATTGTAACCATAAGCACAATGTTTTACCACATTTTTTTGTTTTTTATTTTTACCTCACTAATCATAGAAGTTTGTTTTTCTTAATCAATCTTTTTTATATTTACAGAATTACAAGCGTGTGATTGAGACATGGTTCGATGAAAAGCACAAAGAATTCTTTTACACACGAGAGCCGCTGGCTACATTTTTGGATATGGGTGATATAAGTGAGCAGCTGAATTTAAAAAAGAAGCTAAAATGTAAAAGTTTCCAATGGTTCATGGACAATATCGCCTATGATGTCCTGGACAAGTATCCAGAACTACCCCAAAATTTGTATTGGGGAGAGGTAAGAAGAAACATACTATTGTACTTACTGATCTTTAAAAGCTTCGACTCATATTTTTTCATAATACTAGGGGTGTCAAAAAAATTGTGTCCTCCCTTCTAGTCCAAAATTTCTCACTTCTCATGGGCATTTCAGACCAGATTTGGATTACATTTTGCACTAAGGAATCACCATCTCTGGCTCTTCCATGAAAGCACCTTTCTGTATAGGGAATCCTATAACATAAATGTTGTTTCTAAAATGAGCCAGAAATAGTGGTTCCTTATTGCAAAATGTGGTCCATTTAATCCCATGCCCTCGATGGAGTTCCTATAAGCTGCAAAGATTTGCGATTTATGTCAATTTTCTGAGTTAACTCAGCTGTGCATGGAGAGTTCGATTGGATTCAGAAGTTGACTTTCACAGTAGGCGATGCTCCCCTTTATGGCCTCAACTTTGAGAGCTTTTTTTTTGAGCTATGGAGTTCGTTTCGGAGAACAATCCAGTTGCATGTTCCAGCATATTTCTCACAAAATTGTATAGCAAAATAAGTACTTAAGTACTAAACCCTCAATGGCATGCATTAATTTTGGATCTTGGATGATGGGGGACACACAACTGTATTGTAGCTTTTGTAAAAACATAGAGTTTCAAATTGTTTTCTTAAAATTTCAAATTGTTGGTAAATATTCGGTAATCTATGGTAATATCTTATTTTGATTTCATCGTAATTTTTCTTTAGCTTCGCAATCAGGCCACTGATACTTGCATGGATACACATGGACACGCAGCGCCATCAATTCTTGGAATGTCTTATTGCCATGGTTACGGTAATAATCAGGTCAGTTCTCATTTACTGCCATGCTCAAGAATCACATGATAGTCAAGTCATTTTCAAATACATCTTCTTACATTAAAATTGAAAGATGGTTTTGTCAGTTTTGTTGTTTCAAAATTTTTGTGCGTGTTTCATTTTTTCAAGAGAATACTTTTCAGCTTAATAAGTTAAATTTTTAGAAATTTTGTCCCGCCAAAGAAAAACCTGATAGTTCGTGCAGATGTAAAGATCAAATATTGTTTCAAAACAGTTAGTATAAGAAATTTATAACATAGCAAATGGATATTCTTATTCTCCTCAATTAACCATCAATTTAATACTGTATGCTTGAAAAAACATTTCGATACTTCATATGTCTTGGTACAAAATTAACACTTGTAGAATTTGGCTGGAAAAATAGAAAAAGGAAACTTGTGTCAAAAAGAAAACACTCTTGGGCTTAGGAAATCGGGATGAGTTTCGTGAATATAATTATTTGTTTTTATTTTAAGATATGCAAGCTTATTATTTCAGTCTCTTTGCTTCATCTAAAATTTTAAGTGAAAAAATGAAAGCAATATTTTAAGAAACAACAACCTCCAAGTTCAAGAAGTTGCTTTTAACACAATTTTCTATCACTACCAAAGTTTGTATTGTGATGTTATTTCAATTTTCAAAGAACTTTTACGTGCATTCAAAAATCTAGGCATCCTAAAACAAAAGGAGCAAAGTCCATTTTGCTGACGAGCCCTGAATTGTGTAAGAGTTCTAGTGTCATGGAGCTCACCAGCCAAATGGACCTTGCTCCCTTTGCTTCAAGATACCTCAATTATTGTTTCGGAGACGAAGGAACGTAACTCTCCTTTAGTGTTTTAAAATCAAATTGATCAATTCACTTTGTTGAAGAAATTTTTAAGACGCAGCTAAGAAATGTTATAATTTTATTTTCAGTTATTCCGTCTGAATGCCAAGGGACAGTTGGGTATTGGAGAACGGTGCGTGAATTCAGACAATCAAGGAATAAAACTTGTTTTCTGTCGCTTGGGAACCGTTGATGGTCCATGGGAATATGATACTGTAAGTTTATCACTCTTAATTCTTTGTCAAAGAACGGACGTCATAAAATTACACCCAGGGACAGCTGATCATTTGGAATCATGAAACATATCGATTTTAAAACCAAGAGGATCTTGTATTTTGATTCTCATCTTTCCAAATTTCTCCACCTGTTCAATTTATTTGAAACCGAGGTGAATTGATGCTGGGGACGTTTTTAGATTATGAAATAGTGTATTTTGTAACGGTGTATTAAATCCTGTCTAAAACGGAACATTCCTATTAATGAAGGTATAGAGCTCATCACAGCATGAACTCTCCTTTGGGATCTACTTTTTTCTAACTTAGTTTGGGAGTGATATGACTCTATCGTACAAAATCGGTATATCCTGATTTCTCCTTTTGTCCCCATCTCCCTGTACTTGCTATAAACTCAGACAACTTCACTTAGCGTTAGGTGTAACCCATCAGAAAGGTAAGGATTTACTTTTTAGGTTGACTTGGACCCATCTTTTTTTCTTCTTTTTTTTTAAAGTGCCAAGCGCATCCCCATTTTAAGTGCAATGATTGGTTTATCATCTGATAATATCTACAGACAGCCCAATGATGCATGATCTTCTCTGTATATATCCCCAAAAGGCATTGGAAAAACATTTTACACCTATTTATTTTACACTCGGAAAAGAAGAAAAAAAAATATATGTATATTAAAAAACGGCTATTTAAGCACATTCTCCTGGAGCTTACAAAAAAAATTATTCAGAGTTTTTGACATCTTTTTGGTTCTGAAGAAGCCCAATGTTAGATCTATCTCCCCTCAATGTCAAAAAAATTCAAGTCACAACACACTCTACTAGTAAATTGAATGAAAAATCAAACAGACTGTGAATCTCAATGAACACTTATTGTTACAAGAGAAAAATTATGTTCTTTTGCCCTGTTCTTGGAGGGAAAGTTAACCCCAATAGAATGTAGGTGTTTTTCTAAGAAGGAGTAAACTTAAGAAATGGTAGTAAAAATCAAGGAACTTTTTGCAAACCTAGCTATTTCTAATGAATTCAACCAAAATTAATATTTTCCCTCTGTTTCTTTATCCCAGGACACCCGTCAGCTAATATACCGAGACGTCAATAAGTGTCTAACCGTTCATCCGGTCAGTAAGAAGCTGATCCTTCTACGATGTGATATCCAGCAGAACTTCCAGAAATGGGTTTTCAAGGAAATTAAACCCAACTGGTGAAAAAAAATGTGATATTAGTTTAAGTTTTTCAGGTTAGTATATCTTTCTTATTTTGTTAAACAACTCCGAGCTGGCAGCTAGCGGATTGACAAAAATAGTACCATGAAAGAAATTTCTTTTTGATCATGCAACTGAATACTCAGAAAATGAAATATTTTGCTCACATTTCAGGACTGAAAAATACCAAGAGAGAGACAAAAGCAATAAATGAGACAAAGATGAACGGAATTCTGTCTCTAATATTGAGGTTGAGTTGGAGGGTACATCACAATCTGATCATGCAAAAGTCTTTAATGATCAATTCTTGTATCTTTCACTGACTCAATGTAAAAAAGTATTCATCAGTGTATAAAGCTAAAAGTGTCATAAAAAAATTCTTCAGTGTCATGAGGAAAAATTTAAAAAGTTTACCATTTCCTTTTGATATTTTCAAGGCATTTCTTAAATAATCATCATATATTTTATAAAATAAATGTTTGATTTACAGGTTTTGGAATGATCCGTCTACCCCTGATTCGTCAATTTTACGGATTTATTTATAACTTTTCTTTGTCCAGTTTTGTTGGTCCAAGTACATATCTTATCCAATCTATTGCAATAATTAGTCTAAAACAATAATCAATTAATACAAATTGCATCCAATGACATTCTCTCACCCTTTACTGCAAGCAAAGTTACACAAAGGCTTACTTAGTTCCCCCCCCCCCTTCCTTCTCATGTGCGAAATTGAAACGGAGTATTGAAAATCGATCCTCATGCAATACATTACAACCAGAAATGTATAATTTCATGATGTTAGATGAAACATTCGAAATTTGTGATCTTTCATCCTCAAAATTGTATGAAATTTCATGAAACTTTTGAAATTAGTGAAATTTTATCCTCAATATTCATGCAGTAAAATGTTGTCTACCTTCTCTTGTTACAACTTGTCTATTGGACTGTCTCAATTTTTTTGCTTCAAATTTGAGTTTTTTGTTCGGACAAAAACTCTGTACTTTGTGTAATCAACTGTAGACCGATTTCAGTGTTGGACGGGAAAGAGTGGAAGAATTTTCCTACAAACAACTTATTGATCTCTATCATGATGAAACATCATTGTCAGTTGGGCGTTTCAAAGCAAACTCGCCCCAACTACATCAGGCGTTGCCTCCTTTTTTTTTTTATCAATTTTTTCAACAGAAAACTAAGTGACATTAAAACTTGAAATTTGTTCAGTATATGATTCATAATTAAGGGTAAATTAAGTAGATTCGTTCTGTATCAAAAAATCGAATCATGAGAGAAAATTAAGAGTGAAATGCAGTTAGGTAGATTCCAGTAAAATACGGTTAAATTGTTTTTCTTAAATGCTAACAAGATGAATTTTATTTGGTTTCAGGGGCCTTAAATCAAAAAGGATTCTACTTATCAGCTGGACAATATGTTTAAAGAGAGTCTTCTGAAATGATACACGGCGTGAAGTCAGCCGAAGATTTTCTCTTCTCAACCCTATCTACTTAAGCCTTTAAGTCTGATGATTCAATTTTTAAGGAAGAATTTTGTTGATATTTCTTCTCAAAGGATTTTTCTTAAGGGCAATCGTCAATTTATATGTTGCCGTGCAGCTTTCCAGGCATTTTTGACTTATAGAATCGAAGGTTCCTTGAATATTGAAGATTAAAATTTTTGCTTATGATTTAAATTCGTTAGATCTGATCTGGTCAACTTAAGCGACAGGGTTGCCACAGTCAGAAAATACCGGGAAACATTAGGGAATTTTAAAGTCAGGGAAAACGTGGAAATGTCAGGAAAAATGACAAACAAGTCAGGGAATAAATTTTGAGTCACCTTTATTTGCTCTCTAGAATGGGTTTAATGTTTCAAACAAAATATTGTGTGCAAAAATTATTTCAAATTATGTATTTTTAACCATCTAGCATGTCTTCAAATGTCTGGTAATTTCACCAAAATGTAACAGAAAAATCAGGGAATTCTGTGGTCTTCTGGTGGAAATCTTAATTCTGTGGTAACCCTGAAGTGATGATAGTTCCGATGAGAATTACTGGAAAAGTTGTTCTACAATTTACCTTTTTCTATTCCTTTTGTCCATCTCAGGTAACTGAGTTTAAATGGATTCAGCTCTCATTCTGGATATATAAATTGTACCTTACCCTAGCAAGTACATGTGGAAACTATACAAGTAAAAATAATTATGTTAAAAAAACACTCAATTGCTGATGGTTAACAAGGTAGTGTACTGGCGGCCTCCTTGATAGTGTGTTTCCACTAGGTGAGGAATGTTTTAATTTAGGCATGGTTCCAAAAGCTCTGCTTTTATCCTTTTCAACTGATCTTTTGTGGTGCTACCAGTTCATGTGACTGCCATAGTGCAATAGTATAGGATTCCATACGGAAATTTTCTTGACCCTGGAAATTCTGAGCTGGGCTATAATCTCAGTGAAAACTTCGATACAACTCTGGGGCTGTTGTAGAATCTCAAAATCTTAACTTTCGCCTCATCGAAAGCAATGAGTCAAGAGCAATTTTGAGTGTACGAAAGCTCTGGACAAAGCTTCCTTCACTTTAAAAAGTGTTATGTACCTAGCTAAATCACAACTTTGTTTTTAGTCAGTGCAACAGCCCCATGCTTTATATATTTATTCAACTTTAAGCATTATGTCATTCTGCAAAGGTCACTCAAGTAACCTGCCAAACGAAGTAGCTTTTATTCCAGGGAAAATCTGCAATAATGAATGTGGTAAAATGCATTTTAACCTCTCTTAATTAATTGGTTGTTTTCTTTTAGTGAACTTCAGGTCAAGTTTTTCCAATCGAAATTTTAGATTTGCTTGTTTTCCCTTGAGTTTTTTTTCCTTTCCACCGAAAGTTTTGTATATATTTTTAAAGCTAGCACAACAGAAGGGAAACTTTGATGATGCATTTCATCTTAATTGTAGTAACTAATTTAATCGTTGTAGCCTTGAGCTACTCGATCTCCCTTTCACAATGGAAAGTTTACTCAATATAACCAAGTAATTCAATCTAATCTTAAATTTATAATTCTGCGGCTTTGATCAATAGATGAAGTGCAATGTCAAAATATCCTTGTTATTATTTTCTTAGTTTTAGTTGATGCTGCTCATTCCAGTATATTACAATATTTTTGAAGAGCGATATACTTAAATTAATAGTTTTTACTTCAACACTCTCGTTTTTGGGAAAATTTGGAGGAGTGTGAAAATCTCTCATCTGTGACATTAATTTATGAGCCAATTCCCAAGTATTGTTAAAACATATCTCTTGGAGAAAAGTATATACTTTCCTCTTCTCCTTAAGCTAATTTGACCTTCGGCAAGTAGGAAACAAATTTCATTCTGGAAATTAATGAAAAATGGCTCAAATTCCAAAATAGTAGTTCCTCTAGCTTCCTCTCTCCATACCAGAGACTTCAGATGTGGAGATATTTTTTTCTAATCTCATCTGTTTTTAAACTCATCCTTTGAAGAATTTTATCTGCCAGTACTCAAAACAGCAATTAAGATGGTCTATGTTTAGTCCTGTAGATAGATTGTTGGCTACCGCAGCAATCTTCTCACAGTTTGGTGCTTTTTAAATAGTAGTAATAACAATTTGTAACAAGGAGAAATGTCCTGAAAACATGATAGTTGAACTTTGAAATGCTCCTTTATTATTACACTCGAGTCGGTCAATGCTTTAAATTTTTACAAACGAGAAATTATAACAACAATATTACTCATAATTACCTACTTGTAAGACTGAAATTAAGCCCTTTCCTTTTATTGAATAAACTAGAAAAAGTAGGCTAGTAGGCATGTGTAAGAAGAGTCATATTTTTTTTTTTTTTTTTAAGTAAAAGTGGGAGCATGTTTCAGAAAAATTGCCAGTTTTTAAGTTACTCCTGTGTGACTCCTCTGAGCTTGTTTTCATGCATTGTCAAATGATCTACACTTCTCATTATAGTTCATTTTCAGTTAGTCTATCACTTAATTTCATTAAAAAGCTATACCAGCCCCCGCTTTTAACTGAATGAAATTCTGAATGTCTTCATTCAAACTTACCACTCGTGATCATTTCTCTGTAAGATTGTGAGGCTCAATATCACCCCAATAAATAAGCCTTCACTACTTAAATCTTGCCAATCTCCTTTTCTCTCCGGACTAGCTACTCCGAAGAAAAGGAAAATCTTTGAAATGTTAGAATTACTCTCCAAACATCACTCATGTGTACCAACTCTTGCTAAGCTTACAGCTCTCTTTTCGAAACAAATTATGTTATCATTCCATTTTTAATATTTGCTTTCAAATCTTAAACCTCTCAGGTAAATAAATGTTCAACGTTGGTTTCTCAAAAGTTGGCTACCTGGTCGGCCTATCAAATCAAGAGTTCGTTTACTGATTTATTGAAAGCCTCCTTGGAGTGTAGCACTAAAATCAACAGTAAATCGTAATTATGGAGAGCTTCCCTGTACTTAGGTATTCATTCTTAGAATTTCAGTGTGCCTACTTAAATCACCATGTTACTTGAAGCATGATGTTGACCTCTTTCTCTTGCAATGTGTTTTTTATTTGAAATGGATCTTAATTTCTCCACTTTATTTTTATTAATAAAATCATGTTCATTTTATATTGATGTTTATTCGGTATCATCTTTTCCTTTCTTATTCCTTTCTTTCCTTTCTTTTCCTTTCTTATTCCTTTCTTTCCTTTCTTTTCCTTTCTAATTAATTCCATCCTTTTACCCATCAACACGAATGGAACGAACTGGATTCTTGTGGGTTCATTGCAATATGCAAGTGCAAACATGCTTTGCAACACTTCAGGGGGAGGCAGTTACTAATAATGGGCTGATTGCGCTAGTCATAGAATTGTCAATATAGAGCGATGATTAATTAGAATTGTGATTTAATAGAATTATTTTGATGGTTCAAACTGAAAGATGGAAAGATCTGTCGAAATACCATGGTTCTATGTCCATGAATAGAGATATGGAGAGATATATGCCCATTGGAAAAAATTGCGAATGATGTCATCCATTGTTAAAGTGCAAACCATCTTCTCTTCCACTTTTGTTGCATCAATCGGTAATACACACTTTTGCACTGGTTTCTCAATGAAAAATATGTATGAGACAGAGGTGGAAGGTACCATTATACCTATGCACTTTCGCGCTGAATGATGTCACACACCGTTTTTTTTGGAGGGCGATTTCTCTGTCAATATTGAGCGCTGTTAGGCTTTTGGATTGATCTCATTACTTTTCGCTAATTTATGAGCTCAAATCATCACACAGCATTTCTGTAACTAGCGCAACTGATCCATTCATTGAGGGCAAAAATGTACAATTAATCATCAAGAACTGACAGATAAAGTAATAAAAACAAGTTGTTTCTTACTGATTCATTTTATTTCTTTTCAGTTCCAAATGGTAAAGATAAAATTGTACAATCAAAGACTAAAAAAACTGAAATGAACTGACAACTGAATTTTCCTTCAAAAGTTCTAAGTTTAAAGTATGGGTTAATTATAATGGTTTTTTTACAGATCCGTGATGAGATTATTCAAAAGAGATACCTACAAAATTACTGAATTAATTATACAATTGGACGGATCAATTAAAATTTAGATGTGAAGAACTTGATTTGAAATATTTTTCAGATTTTCTTGAAATTTTGAGGGGAGGAGGAGGTCGAAGTGGAACATTCTAATGCCTCGATATCTTGTGAACAAAAAAGATATCGATACCCTTTTTCGTCTGGGTTACAACATTCTGGGTGAAAATTATACAGGTCTTCCTTTCAAAGTCATGTTCACCCGTCTAATTTTTCGGAAATATTAAATAAAAAATTTAAACTAATTTTAGGTACTTAGGTATAAAGAGCAGTATTTAAAGTAGACAAAAATAACAGTTTTAAATTTCTCATTGAATTACAAGTGAAAAGCAGTGGTCATGCGTTCTGGAGCAACAGATCTCTTTGGAACACATGAGAAGTAAGTATCATCATGCAAGCCCAGGACCGTTGCCTTCAATAAGATTTTCAATGCAGTTGTTGTAAATAGAATTATAAAAAAATAGATGAGAATTACAGCAACATCTATTTTTGCCGCAAAAGCCGCAATTTTGACCTTGATAAAATTATTGGTTGTGCGCTACACGTTATAATACCGACATTTTTTCTTGTTCGATGATTGAAATAGTTGTGTAAGTTCTGTAAGGATTTTGTACACATGCTTACATTCTAACTTCGTGTCTTTTATTTTTTTTACACAGTGTAAGCTCAATAGATAATATTTACACACATATAAAAGGGGGATTTTCATTGAAATATGTACAGACAAAATATAAAACTTAGAGAATAAATAACAATGTTACAACAGTTAAAACATCATTGCAGAACCTAGTCATTGAAAACAATGACAAGATTACGAAGTATCCTAAGGCCCGCTTTCAAGGAAAGGGGAGACAAATATCACAATTTCAAAATTTTGCCTCCTGAGTACTTACGCTGCACAGTATGTGCTTGCAGCTGATTGGACGCATTGAAATCAAAAGAAACTATTTTTATTGTGACATGAACCCTGTTATACATGTATTTTTTCATGAGTTTCAGGGTCTAGGTCACGATGGAGTTGAAGCTCCTTTCAATTTGAGTATGTTCAATTGTCTTGAGGAAGGGAGTTTACTCTTCCATGACAATGGCATCGCAGGAAAGAATCGACAAAATGCCAATTATAATATTGTTCTTGTGAAGCAATTATATGTAAGTATACTGTATCCTCCCCTAAAAATTATTCTTAATGCTAGCTCCTCAAATTTTCAAAATTGCTCTAAAAAGTATTTGATAAACCAAAAGCATTGATCAGTATTTCTTCACAGTGTAAAAAAAAAGGACAGCAGTTAAGACAAGAAGAGATGAGAAGAAAAATCACAAGTTACTTTGTTCATTTATATAGTTTCATAAAATTAAGTAAGTTGAGAAATTACCCCCACATCCTGTAATGTTGCGTAAAAATGACATAAACGCAACTATCCTCTAGAGCATGATGTAATATGTGGATGGGCTCTTTTACTTTCACTGATATCCAATGTAAAAGATATGTCATTATTCTCCGGGTCCACGTGGGAATGACTTAAAAATTGCAATTCAACATGTACCATTAGGTTTTTTTTTTCATTTTTAAAAAAAAAATTCATAAGATATGCTGCACAATTTTCTTTCACGTTAAGCATTATTGTTTCTAATTGTAGGTAATACGGGAAAAATAATAGAAAAATATGCAAGGCAATTTCACAGCAGAAATATTCTTTTCCTGTAAACATACACTTAACTTCATTTTATCAGTCGCAAGAAGTAATTTTTCAGTAAATGTTCGACTTTCTATCAAATTTGAGAAAAAAATTAAGTATGAGAATTTTTTAAATACCTAAGATAAAATCTCTGAATATTAATGTTCTTTCTCTGAATAACTTTACAGTATGATGACAACTCCAAACGTCAACCATATTTAGATGTTCCTGTTCCTCCAAAAAATTGATATTAAATTACAAGCTGACATTCTCTGACAACGAGAAAATTGTAGTACAATTTTTAATTAATAACACAAATGAGACTCCCAGCACACCGAGAGAAAAACAATTAGTTTTAAAGAATACACATCCTTAGATTAAGTTTTTGGGCAAAAAAAAGTAAGATTTACGGCATCTGGTTTAAAGTTGAACAAGAAATACCTATTTTAATTTTACTTGCTCATTTCCCAGTTCTCATCATGGGTGATTTCATTTCCACAGAGCAGCTGCAGGAACGCTTAAGACTTAACACAATTCCTGTCATACTTAATTTTTTAAATAAAAAAATACTTAACCTTGTGTTAAGTGTTCTCATGATCAGCACAAAGGAGTTAGCTACCTCCTATCACACTGCTTAAGTTAAATGATTTATGATTGCTGCGAATTACTTAAATTACATTAATCCAAACCTGACTAGAATACAAGGAGTATTCCAAAAGTTTGAGGATCAGCTCCTGAAAGAACCTAAAAAATGAGCATCAACGAGGTATCAATTAGAGCACTTTGCAACATATTCTCTCTTCAAAATTTAATTCAGTCGCGGAATGCCTTATGTCTGGGTGGGTATGGGTAAGACGTGTAAAGAACTTTTTTGCAAATAAAATTATTGTTTCTGAATTGATTATTATAGTCCATTATTATATTCACCTGCCAAAAAACATTAATTTATTCTGCGATGATTACTTCACCATAACCAACCACTGCTGCATGAGTTGGTGATTTTCTCAGAGGCACCAACTAAAACCAGGGTGTCTACATATTCGGGAGGAGAAAATTCCCTGACTTTTAAAGTGGAAAATTTAGAATGTAGAACTAGAAATGAAACAATTTTGATATTAATTTCATTCACTGTAAATAATAGAAACATCTGAATCTTTTTTATCAGGTATTGATAATTCAATTGACTAAAATTGCAGTCCCTCATTGAAAGAATATTGTTTCCCACATCAGGGTGAGACTCGGATTGATCTTATGGATAGCTATGATGTTCTTTTACTTATTGCAAGTCGTAAGATTTTTCAAATTTCCAGCCTTTTTCATAAAAGTCCCTGAATCTTCCCCTGTTGTTTCTTTCTTTGACAATTCCGAGTTTTTTTAGACCTGTAGACTTCCTGGTAAAATTTCAGAGAGTAGTTGCGCACTATTTGACAAGCTCAGTTTTTTACTCTACTGATGAATTACTCCTTCTACAATAAATTAATTTGTTCTCTTCTATTCTCAATGACGTTGAGCTACCCTTGATCTTCTTGTGCAAAATGCAAATAAAGTACTTTTAATTCCTTTAAATTTTAACTTGCATTGCGTACAATTTTGATAGGAAAACTTATCTAATAAAGTTTCACTTCTTTTCCTGCTTGATAGTCCAATGACATGCATGGAAAACGATAATTTCACCGGGTTCCACAAGAAATTTTAGAAAGGACACAAGTCTAAGGAGCTTCAATTTTATCTTAAATTCTCACGCCACTAATATTCCACTCAAGGCTAACAAAGTTCACTATGATAACGAGAGAAATAAAGAGCTGTAATAAGAGCTGTATTCGGTTGAGCTATTAACAACCTTCCTATCATCATTTTTGGGCTTGACACACCAGAGCTAGCGTTAGTGATTTTCTAGTATGCCTAGTGCAGAGGAGAGTTTGATTTTCAAGTTCAAAATACAATCAAGGTGTCTGCAGGTTTCAGAATAAAAAAAAATCCCCAATTGTCCTTTGACCGTAGAAGAAACGAATCAATTTATTTTTTGTTTCACAGTGTACTGATATGCTTTAAGAAAGGTGCACTTTTACTGATTACTTCATCTGATCTCTTACTTCTCAGGTTTCCCGATTAGAAATATAAGAGGCAAAAATCTTTTGCACTCAGTAGACATTGAGACTGCGTAAAGGACCAAAAATTAGCGAAGAGAAAAAAATTGAGATTTTTTCCCCCTAATAATTTATTGGGGTAAATTTTTTTATTGAGAATTCTAGGTTCTCTTACTTTCCAGCCCTGCAGAAACCCTAAAAAGGCTCTAATCTGTCCAGAAAAAATAAATTTCAGCAAATATACTCCAGTTTAGATCACCCCTTAGCTAGAGTCACTTTCTTCATGTGTAGCGGCTTTGTAGTGCACCGGAATTTTTGTTTTCCTTCGACTAGGAAACAATGAGTTGAATCTTCGAAAAGAATAACTTCTGTGTAAAAAATAACAACTCATCATAGATATGAGAAAACAGTTGATTGCAAGAGCTATGCACGCACGGAAATACCACTTGGTTGCATCTATGGACGGAATGAGGCTCTTCGGATAACAGTATGATGCACCTTCATCGATGTTTGTCAAGGTAGCGTCTGCGTAACATGATGTGCATTCGTAATCATTAGATCCGGAGCACTTGCGGCAGGAATAGTGGCATTTTTGACAGCTGTCTGATGTTATTGGGTAAGTCCCAACCGGGCACTGGACAGAACATTTGCCATCGTATAGGTAGTAGCCGGGCCCACATTCTGAAAAAAAAGAAGAAAATAATTGAATGCAACAGCATAAGTAAAATTAAATAAATCTCAATCAAATTTAGGAGGTGTTTTTAGCCTGAAAAAATTTAGAGCCTTTTCAGGCTCTAAAGCCACAGGCTGACTGACAGGCTGCTGAGCCTATCGGCCAACATCAGTGATATCAATTGGGTCGCATTTGGCAGGAGTGAACCAGCGTCATTACAGTGTTTTCAAAATTGAACAATTTTTCTTTTTCTTCATAAAATACTAAACATATGTACAGTTTTAAAATTTGCACGATTATTTTCCGTTGAAATTAACAGTTTCTTGAGGGGAAAGCAAAAGCTATTTGCTATCTTAGGAAATTTTTTGGATAGAGATGAAGATGCACGATTTTTACAATACTGTAATCGCATTGGTTCCTTCCTGTTAAATCCAATCCAATTTTTCATCCTATATTTCTATCGCTGGCAAAGCACCAAAGAAAAAAAAATCTTAAGAGGGATATTTATCTGGATATATACAGGGTGATCCAAAAGACTAGTACCAGACATGACCGTTGTAACTTCTGAAAGAATTGAGATAAAGACTTAAAATTTTGTGAAAGCTCTTGGATCAAAGGAAACGACTTACAGGATATATACCTTAAAATTTTAAGGGTATCACCCTGTACAGCGACGAGAGCCCTACGAGTTATAGGGGTGGTGCAAGACTTTTGGAGTACCCTGTAAGTGTGTGAATGAGGATATACAGCACAGGTAAGCTTAAGTGTTTGAGGACCCACGGCAAAAAATTACAAGGCGACACAGCACAAGGCAGCCTCTGTTATTCCTTTACTCTAACTACCAAACCAGAAGTACAGTTCACTGGGAATGCTCATGCTACAATTATGGTGCTTTCATTTCTTATGAGTGGCAAGTTCACTTTTCTCTTGAGAAAAAATTAGAGTAAAATACAAGAAAAAAATCCACTTCATTCTCTTTCCTCTGAAGGAATTGAAAGATTGATTTCTTCTATCAGACAGAGTTGAAATTCTATCGTGCAAGCAAAAAATAACAAATTCAACCAAAAGCAAATGATAATTTTTGAAGAGAGGGAAGGAACATTGCACTTCGAAGTGTGAGTAAAATTGTAGGGAAAAAATTAGACTGATTAAAAGAAAGCGTAAATATAAATAAAGGGCACAACGACTGTGATTTAATCAAAGTTCATAACAAAGAGTTATGATAAACATAATTGGTACTTAAAGCAATAAAAATAAATATTTAAGACCCAAGAGAGACGAATAAATCCCTTGAACTCACTTGACAGAACGAGAAAGAACCAATAATTCTTTTTATACTGGACTCATGTCTGTATTTATTAAAGAAATCTTTCAGTTGAACTTCATTTTGCGATTAGGGACTACAATTTTTGCCTCAACTTAGAAACAACATAATGTGACATTAGTCTCCCTACCCAGGTAAATGATATTATGAATTAACCATAATTGGACTGCATTTTGCAATTGGAAACTATTATTTCTTGCTCATCGGTGGCACCTATCTCCATAGGGAAACTAATGGCACATGCATTAAGTCTAAATTGAAGCCAGAAATAGCTGTTCCATACTGCAAAATGTACTTCAATGAACTAATTAGCAGTTTCATATTTTGAAAGTACAAAACATGATTTCAATTCATCAACTAATGATTAAGGCTCTTTCAAAATAAAACAGTGGGGTTTTTAAAGTTTGTGAGTTCTGCTGATAAAATGTTACAGAAATCAACTAAAACTGGGATTTTGCATAATAAAAAAGACGTCTTGACTTGACCAACGTTCGAAGGTTCAATAAAGACATAACAATTGATTCATAGCTAACAAGAGCAAAACAACTTTTTCGACCTAATGAGAAAAAATGAATGTACCAAAATGAGTTTCATTTATTTCCTGTTCATCTCTGATTTAATAATTTTGAGATCAAAAAGGTAGGATCATCCGTCGATTTATATCTGTGTACAAAGATACAGCAATACAGACACACTCATTGATACTCAAAAACATACATCTGATCATTTATTTAGGGGCCGTCCATAAAATTCGGAACACTATAGGAAGGAGGAGAGATCTGAACCTGCATTACGGAGGGAGGGAAGGGGTCTAGGGCTGAAACTGGCACGTAACACCGATTTTTCGAAAATTTAAGATTAAAAAAGCAACGAGAGGTGACCATTTCCCATTTACAATTCATTGCATGCAGCCAATTTGAGGGGGTGGAGATCAAGTAAAGTCCTACATCATTTTTTAAGGGGGTGGAGACCTGTGTTAGAATACAGGTGCATTGCATGGAAGAAGGAAGGAAGTAAAAAGTCAGTTTCTCTGAGCAATTTATTTTATGAACGGCCCCTTATTCCAGAATTAGCAGAATCTTCTACTTCAGTGACTGATATGAGATCCTCGGTTGACTTGACGTAATAAAAGTAAGGTTTTTTGTTACCTATCAAAGGACTTAAATTGTTTTAAATGGAAGTGTCATTATTTAATTCCAAATGATGTTGATATCTAGAAACATGTTGATAATAAAGAGGTAAATCTCTCTTGAAAAATAGTGGCGCAGAAGAATGAATACAAGGATATTAAAATAATGGGTTAGAAGATCTAAGTCATGCTTGAGTTTGGAAAAATAAGGGAACAGTAGAAAGAAGGTGAACAGTTCTGCTACGACATTCCACAAGAGATGCTAAGCACAAGCGATGTTAAGAAAAAAGCAACTCACCCGTAGCTCTGATGATGTGAGAGTTCCATTTTTGGTGAGTCTCCAACATTCAACCAGCATTAGTTACATTGACTACACTTTCCATAGTTATTAAAATTTAAAACAAAAGCAAAATGATGCCACCTCATCAACACTACCAGCCGGGAGAAAATTGAATGTTGAGAGAGAGACAGAAATAATTGAGTACAATTGTTTTTTTTTCCTAATTGATTTTTTTCCTACTACTACTTGCAGAATTAAAATTCAACAATGGTCCTGATGCATGTAGTAAACAAATTTATTGAAAATAATTTTCTAAAATGAATTGTTTGGTAGTGTCAAATTTTCTTCACAGGCGGTCTTACGAGAAGGTCAAGAAAAATGATAATCAACCTTGTACTGAAAGATGGCATTTAAGCTTTGAAGTAATAACTTGAAAGACTAAAATCTCCGATTGCTTTGAGAAACTGAAAGGTAAAGCTAGTTTTTTTGATTTTTCCTTGAAAAGCATGAAACATAATCGGAGATTTTAAAATGCTGCAATTAAGTTACGCATTTTTCGCATTAAGCCATCATATTAATTTCCTTTGGGAACACCATCTACAGACTGCTAACACTGAAATCATAACCTGTGATAGACCAGCGTTGCCTGCAATTATCTCAAGAGCCAAAGAGGTAAAATCTTTTTAGAAAAAAAATCCTTCAGAAAGAACCCTTTCCTTTTCCTTTTAGAAAGTTCAGTCCGACTAAATCAAAATCAAAATCATGATGAAATATGAAGCAGATGATTTTAGGAATTTTGGATACTGGAACAACTTGAATATTGCCTCCCCTGAAACATAGTGCCTGAGTGCTACTCCAAAGTTCCTACAGAGAAGTGAGAAAAAAGCTATTCGGCGCAGGAGGTAGACAGAGGCTGAATTTTCTGATGGCTATGCTGACGCTATCAAGCCAAATTTCACTTCGCAAGAAAACAATTCAGAGGGAGTTGTCCCTAGGGAATACATAACCATTACTGACAGGAATTCACGAAAATTATCGGTAAGATGGCGGTGATTTTTGGAAAACAATTTTAAAATATTCGATGGAATGGTTGCAAAAGAAGAAGAAAGAGGAGGCCATGAATGATTCAATTGACAGTAGTTACGGACTTAAGAAACTTGTCTGGGCAACATGTAACATGAAATAACTAGTCTGACAGAGATATTATCTGTTGACATGTGCTAATAAGACGGCAGACACACAAGCAAAGCATATACTTCTGTTCATTCATTGATTGGTTAAATGAAAAGGAATCATCTTCTTCAATTCTTCTTCTGTCACAACTTTTATATGAGTAATTCTTATAGAACATCATTAAGAATGGACAGAAAGTTTCCGATTGTTTGGAAATCACCGAAGTTTGAGTTATTATTTGTTTAAAGATTGACTGAAGTTAGACCTAAACATTTGACTAAAAATTATCTTTGAAACCGAACTTTTTGCTTTGCAGTACTTCTGATGAAAATCGGAAGATTTTCTTTTGAAGGGGGGTGGGGAGTAAAAATTAGTTGAATACAAAAGCCGTAATCCAATTTTAATTGATTAAGAAATTTGGTTTGAGGCATTGCACTGAGAAAATTGGTGCAAAATTACCGTGGACTTAATTCCTACAAAGATATGTAGAACTATTGAGAAAGGTCCTGGTAATAATTTACCATTATTCTAATACTCAGCGAAAGCTAAGCTGGACCTTCAAACTTCCTCTATATCTTTGGATTACAATTCATTAATCCCAAAACCTCTCTTAGTAGTTCTACATATCTTCCACGGAATTAAATCCGTGGTAATTTTGTACCAATTTGCTATGTGTTATGCTCCCAACTAAATTCCTTTGTTGATAATTTAGTTTCAGTTTCGAATAAAAGTGGGGATCATTGCTGTTTAAAAAAAAAGGAATATCTGGTGAATTCTTAGAGCTTTACAAGAACGATTAATCCCTGAAAAAGTTCTAGGTATATTAAGTTGAAAATGAAAAATGGCGATTAAAAGAGAACAAATATTTTTAAAAACTAGCAGGTAAAATATTTAATAGCATTAAAGTTTTTGGATCACTTTAGTACAGGAAAGTATAATCTAAAACAGAATTTTTCAGTAGGATTGATACAACTGGGGGGAGGGGGGGTTAAAGTTGTCAGATTACCGTAAAATGTGGACATATTACATGGGTTTAAGTGAGAAAAGTGTTGCTTTCTCAACTACCTTCACTATCTGGCAATAATGACTGGGAGAATAGCAC